TTGGCTAATCTCTGCCAACCTCCCCTCCGCCTCGCTCCCCTCTGAGATCTGTCAGTCTGTTCCATGTATCCATGCATCTGATTTTATTTTGTTCATCAGTTTGTTTTGTTCAGTAGCTTCTGCCTATGAAGGAGATCATGGTGTCAGGTCTCACATTTAAGTCCCATCCATGTTGAGCCTAGGACTTCCAATGTTACGCTGAATAGAAATGGGGACAACAGGCATGCTTGTCTTGTTCCTGATTTTAGAGAAAAATCTTTCAGCTTTTACCATTGACTATGATGTGGAGTGGGCTTATATAGTCCTTATTATGTTGAGATGTTTCTTTTGGTCCCACTTCGTTGAGAGTATTCATCGTAAAAGGATGTTAAATTTTTAATTTTATTAATTGGGACTTGTTTCTGCATGATCTCACCGAGAGTACTCCCTATTGCATTGGTCTGAGCCTTTTTTCCCAAGCACTCATGGCAAGGAAATAATGCATTCTTAAAACTGCGTGTCTGAACTGCAGACATTTTCATGGGATTTTCCTTCTGCCTCCTTCTCAGCCAGTTACTTAACCATGCAAAAATTATGTCAATGTTGGAGAGTGAGTGGTGCTGAAGAGGATATTCACTGGCCACTGTTGGAATTTGTTGGTGTCTTGACAGAGATTCCATGGAAAATAAAAGGGAAACTGATGAATAAAAATGGTTCTTCAACTACGCATGAACTTCCTTTCCTAGGCCCTTTTCACTACGTGCCTTCAGTGAATAGCTCGTTCTGCCACTTAATTAACAGGAAGGGTCCTGGAGTGTGCCAGGGGGCTGCGGCGGGTCCAGCGATGGCAGCGATGAGCGTTGATTGAGTATCTGGTCTATGTCAGGCAGTTTGCCAAGCCAGCACCATTCATGGAGATCGTCCCCCGTGTCCATGGAAAAATGTCTCTCAGTAGCTATTACCATAAGCCCTATTTTCCTTATTAAGAAACTAGAGTTTTGAGAAAATACCAGTATGTGTTCCAACTTACCTGTTCAACGCAGCCAAACTCTAGGTAATAAAAATGTTCAGGAAAGTGGTGCCAAAGCAAACAAACAACCCCCCCCCAAAAAAAACCCTATAGTTCATTGCCCACTGATCTTCAAGCACATACTTTATCAAAGTACATCAAGGAAGAGGGTAGCCAGCACCCGCAGAGCACAGTGGGGTTACGGGGTTAGAAGCCAAAGAAAACACTCTGAAGCAGTAGGAACGGTAAGGAGCTGAAGCGGCATAAGCTGTGTGGGATTTGAACCTGTAGGAACTGAAATTCAATTCTCATTCCCTTCCCTTTCTTTTCCATGGTCAGTCTTGCAGGCTTGGGCGGCTCTCAGGAGTCGGCCTTGCTGCGCTGCCACCTGGAGACAGCAGCTTCTTGGCCAGCTAGGGTCCCGCTACAGACCTGGGCTTACATTCCTTTCTACAGCACCCAGGCGGTGCATGTGTCCCTGGATTGCAGATGTCCTTAATGTTTCCTCAGCCACCAAGCTCCCTTCCAGTTTTCTTCCAACTTTCATCAGAAAACAACTTGACATTACTTCTATTATTATTATTATTATTATTATTATTATTATTATTATTATTATTATGGCAGTGGATATGCTACTTGTCTGCCCAGCAGCTATACATACTCTGCAATGGGGCAAAATTCAGATAGATTGGGGAAGGCAAGCCTTTGTTTCTTCCTCTCCGTTCTCCAGCCTTGGGCGCAGGCTAGGAGCCTTGACTCAAGATCCGTCCCACTTGGGGTGGAATTTGGGTCCCCTGTTGGAGGTGTCAGCAGGGCAAGAAATTGCCTCCCCATGGCTGCCTTGTCTCCAGTCGTAGGGTAAAATGAGGCATAACCGGAGGCTCCCTCTAACAGGCTCCTCCTCCTGCGACTGGAAGGTGTTTCTCCTTGACACCTATCTTACTGAAATTCCTCACCTCCAGAGTACACCTGCCAACCCGGCTGTGACTCCCAGGGACTGTGGTATCCAGGGGGAGTTTTGTTTCAAGAGATGAGTATTACAAGACAAGAGTGTTGTTTACTTCCTACCCACCCCTGAAGTCCCTTATTTTGTGGCTGCGGAAAGGGGTCTGCAAGGTTTGATGACTTGCCCAGGATCCCAGAGCTCACTAGTGAGAGAGCCGCGCCCCGGGTCTCTTCCCCTACTCGCATCTGTCTCCACACTCTGGGCGTTAGGGGGTGGCCCCAAGCTCACTCTCCCCTCAGAGTTGTGGCTGTGGCTTTCTGGGCAGGAGAAAGGTCACCAAACATCCAAAGTTTAGTGTTTTGTTCATATAGATTCCATATATGAATGAAAAAAATCATGAAGCAGGAAGGTGACAAATTTAGTTATCAGGGAAAAGCATTTTGTTATGAAACTTCTGAAGGATTTTTTAAGACTTATATTTGTGAAGGCCTTGGTTTACTGGTTACATTCCTGTCTGTTAGAAGGAATCTCTGATACACTTGAGAATTCTGGAATTTGATTTTTAATTCTTTTTTTGCAGCAGCAAGATTAAGAGAAGTATGTACTTTATTGTTTCATCCTTTACATTCAGGTACGTGAGACCCTAGAAAAGGAGATAATTAAATATGTCTAACACTCAATGTAATATTTCTAATGAAGAAGGACCAGGGAGGAAAAAAAACATTTTTGTCAGTATGTTGCTAAGTAGTCCCTGTGCCCCATTAATATACTATAATGTAATTCTTGGAATTTTAGTTTAAGCTGAACATTAAATATTGCAAACAAATGCCATTTACCTGAGTCTAGCAGTAAAATATTAATATTGTTTCTGTGAAAGTAAAAATAATGAAGCATGCATTTTAATATTCTATAATTGTGTGTTTATTTGTCTAGAATTACTCTAATTCTGGAAGCATTCTACTTAGGCTTCTTCTTGACATGATAGTAAGATTTCATAGTATAATACAGAGTCACACGATATAATTGTTTCCCTTTAGATTTATAATATTTTAATCTGTGTTGCAATTGTAAAAAAAAGTAATTTGAAGACTAATTTATCTTCATAGATAATGCAAACAGTAAAGTCAATGGATGGAGAACTTGTTTAAAATATATGTGACTCATTTAAAAGGTTACATTTAGATCAAATGTGAAAGCTAATAAGACACTAAAGTTTTTTAAAAGTTTTTACATAGCCAAGAAAACCATCAGCAAAATGAAAAGACAAACTACTAAATGGGAGAACATATTTGCCAATACATCTGATAAGAGATTAATATCCAAAATTTATGAAGAACTTATAAAACTCAACACCAAAAAAAAAAAAAATCTAACAATTCAATTTAAAATGGGCAAAAGGCCTGACTAGTCACTTCTCCAAAGAGGACATACAGGTGGCCAATTCATGAAGAGATACTCAATGTCACTCATCATCAGACAAACGCAAATTAAAATCAGAATGAGCTATTCTTCTCACCTTACACTGTCAGAATGGCCGTCATCAACAAATCAACAAACAACAAGTGCAGGCGAGTTCCTGGAGAAAAGGGAACCCTCCTGCTTGGGGTGGGAATGCAGGCCAGCGCAGCCTCGGCGGGAAGCAGCAGGGAAAATTAAAACTAGAACTTCCATATGACCCAGCAATTCCGCTTCTGGGAATTTATCCAAAGAAACCCCAAACACTAATTTGAAAGAATATATGCACCCCTACATTCATTGCAGCATTATTTACAATTGCCAAGGTTTGGAAACAGCCCAAGTGCCCATCAGTAGATGAGTGGATAAAAAAGCTGTGGTCCATTTACACAATGGAACACTATTCGGCTATAAAAAGAAAGGAAATCTTACCTTTTGCAACAGCATGGATAGATCTGGAGAGCATGATGCTCAGTGAAATAAGCTAGTCAGAGAAAGACAAATACCATATGATTCCACTCCTACGTGGACTCTAATGAACAAAATAAACTAACAAAATAGAAATGGACTCACAGACACGGAGTATAGACTGACAGCTGTCGGTGCAGGGAGTGTTGGGGGCTGGGTGGAAAGGGCGAAGGCATTGAGCAAAAGCAGCGACACAAAGCCCCGCATAGACGCAGACAACAGTGTCGTGATGACCAGAGGGAGAGGGGCTGGGGGGCCGGTGGAAGAGGTAACGTGGGGACAAATGGGGATGGAGGGAAACTTGACTCGGGGTGGCGAACACACCATTCAAGGTACAGATGATGTATTATATAGAATTGTGCACCTGAAACCTGTATAATTTTATTAACCAATGTTACCCCAATGAATTCAATTAAAACAAAAGAAAGATGAAAAAATGAATAAAATATGTAAGAGAATAGCTTAGGAGATATTTTAATGTTCAATTATGTATGTATTTATGAAATTGAATAAATGTGCTCAGTCTTGTTCTCAAAGCATCCACTAATATGTGAAATCTCACGGATACAAAATCTTATTAGAACCATGTGGTCTTTTAAGGGCTTATATTAGCCAGGATTTCACTTCGTTTTTATTACTAAATTTTGTAAAGTTATCAAAGTTAATGTGGTTTTAACTATTATGAGAAACTGGTAGAAGCCCCTAGTAAAATTCTCAAATTTGAAGAAGAGTTGACAAGTGGATACATGGGATCTCCATTCCGTTTGCCTGTTCTGTTTTGGAGTGTTCATCTGATGTGTCTCTGAGGAAACCACAGATGCTCTGGCGGGAATGTTGTTTTCCCAACAGCTGCTTCTGTTGGGTGAAAACGTTGCAGATTCTAAGGCAATGCAGTTCTTCCTACCACTGCACAGTGTAATCCTAAAGAATTACATTTTTAAAAATCAGATTACTGGCCTACATGTGGTTTAGCTATAGAGGCGAACACCCCTTTCTCCTGACCCTATTGATTTATGCGTTTGTTGTAGAATATTTGGAATTTTGCTGGTCTTTGTGGATGTGTCTGTCATCGTTACAGATCTACTTGTCACTGAGAGCACAATGTATATCCCTTTGGCATATCGTTCAATTTCCTTATCTATCGCCTTATTTTTTTTCATGGATATTCTTCTTCGAGTATTTGTAGAAGGGTAAGTACTTGTTCAATGGTTTGGTTATATCTCATACTGTACTTCAATTGCCATATTGATGCTGTTGTTGTATACCTACGTATGAAATAATGAATGTGAAATTTGCCCCCCTTAGTCTAGTTTAAAAAAGGAATTTTAAGTAATTCATTAAAGTGGAATTCTTCGTAGGGGATGAGTCAGATAATTTGTGTTCTTAAAAATGTCCCTGTCTCTTCTTAGGAGGCATACACATATATTTTGTTTTATATTACAGGGCACTGCTGTATTTTTCTGATACAGTGAATTCTATAGATGCTGTGATTATTGTGGTGACTCTAATAATTGATTTCATTTATATTTCTGATAACTTTGAGGTCTTTGAAGATATCCCAAGGTAAGAAACGTATGAGTCACTTCTCTTAAAGACTTCTTTTTCTGTCTTTTTTTTTTTTTTTTTTTTGGTCTTCATTTGTTTTTTGTGGCTTTCATCCTGTGTAATCTTTTTAACTTTGAATGTCCTGATTCGGTGCCAGACAAGCTGTTTGGAACTGAAATGGCATAATTCCACCTCCTTGGAAACTAAAGGAATGGCGAGACCAGAGAGGGCGTGCCCACTGAGCGCGTTCCGCTGAGTGACGATGATGGAGCACCCACAGAGGAAACAGGGGTTTTGTCCCTTGTTCTAACTTCAACTTCTCTACCTTTTTAAATTCCCACTGAATCAGAATGTGAGCTTCCACCACAAATGCCTTACCCGTGAAATTCCTAGGTGTTTCTAAAAGAGAATGTTGCTTTGAGCACATCCAAAGTTTGAGTGACTTTGAGGATGACCGTCTAAAACAGCAAGTGGGCCACAAAACAAGGTGACCAGATAGGAACGCTGAGGTAGAATATGCCGGATAGTGTATCCAAAACAAAGAAAGCTGAGGCCAAGTTAGACCTGTTTGGGATTAGGGAACTAAAATGTGTAGGAGATGCCGATGTTTTTTTGTTGTTTTTTTCCCCCCTTCTTTCTCCTCTTATTCCGACAAAGAGGAAAAGAAGAACAAACGGGTCCTGGGCTGTAGACGTTGGGTAGACCTCTAGGCTTATTTATTCATCAAATAACATGCTGCTTTCTCCACTCCATCTTCCCTGCGTTTCAATTCGGATCCCAGTGAAACTGGACACTATTTGGTAGGCTTGAGGGTTGTTTGAAAATAACGGGAGCCAGAACATCACCAAAGACCTTGCTGAAAATGGACGACAAACACCCCCGGTCCCATCCCGGAGCCACCGATCAGTACGCACACTCACGTGAGGGAAGCACTGGTCCGAGCCACCAGTTCTGCGCCCCTGCGTTCCTTCCCGTGGCAGGTGTGGCGCTGCCGGCGCACTTGGCCAGCGTCGCCACCTGCTGCCTGCCCGTTGTGCGAGCAGCTGGGCGAGAACCCCCGGTACAGACGGAAGTAACACAGGTGAACAAGAACCCTCAGTTTGTATCCAGGGGAAAAAGACGGAAAACTACTCATCTTAAACCACAAAAGTTAAACCAAAAGTTCTCAGTGTTTATCCGGCAGCTGGTTCTCTAACCCAGAGGTTCTCGACTTGGACAGTATTGATATCGGGGTTGGATGGGTCTTTAGTGTGAGGACGGTCCTCTGCAATGGTGTTTGGCGGCTTTCCTGGTCTCTAACCACTAGATGCAAGGGGCACCCCCTTTCACACAGTTGTGACAACCAACAATGTCTCCAGACATTGCCACGTGTCCCCTAAGTGGATGGATGGGCAGCTGGTGGGGAGCAGTTGCACCATTACCCCGGGCAGAGACTCACGGCTCCAGACTTCATTCGCATCGACGGAACCCTGTCTCTGAAGCAAAAACCGATCTTTCTAATTTATTGTCAGATTGGTCATGTTCCTTCGCTCTCTGCGACTTATCATTCTGATGAGAATTTTCCACCTGGTGCACCAGAAAAGGCATCTCGAAAAGCTGACCAGAAGGATGGTAAGTGAGCAAAACACATTTATGATTCGGAAAAATATGTTTTAGGAAATACGGGCAAGGGTTACAAATATTTATGTAATGGTCTTTATGTTTATGTTGATTTATGTTTTACAAATTAATGATTGTTTTAAATGCTCAGGTTTCAGGAAACAAGCGACGATACAAGAAAGATGGATTTGACTTAGACCTCACTTATGTTACTGGTTTGTGACGTTTAACTGTTGATGTACTTATAGTAATTTCACATTTTTCTTGTGCATAAGTAATTATGTATTTATTTTGTTCTTGCCTTGTTAAAGCCATGTTCTTTCAAAGTGTTCTTCATCCATGAACACGCAGGCCACTCTGGTGGTATGGCCTATTTGTAGTTTAACCCTGACAATTTTTTTTATTGTCGTCTCAAACCAGGTCTATTTGATTACAGTACAGGAGGCTGAATGGATTTTCAGCTGACTGCATTTGTTGGGTTTGTTTTTTTTTTAAAGATTTCATTTATTTATTTTTAGAGAGAGGGGCAGGGAGGGAGAAAGAAAGGGGGAGAACCATCAGTCGCCACCCCCCTTAGCGTGTGGGATGACACCCAACCCACTGAGCCACGCCAATCAGGGTCATCTGTTGGTTTTAAAATTTACTGAGGTCTAGTCGTTATTCTGGGTCCCAAGGATCCCAGAGAAACCTGTTCTTTTCCTAGAACCCCAGAGAAAAAGGTCACTGCTTTGTAGATACCAGGTTTCTGAGTCAAGGGCCCTGCAAAGCATCCTGGGAGTTCCCACCATCGCTGGAGCCCAGATCTCTCATTTTCCTTTGGTGTTTAAGTATGAAATAAATTCCCACCACAGGGGGCGCTCGGTGGTGAATGCACATCTGTCACGTATGGCTGGAACCAATTGAGTGGGAACACATGGGGATTTAATGGTCATTGTACTGGATAATGTAATATATTATCTTGATTATCCTGAGAGTTAGTTAGCTTTTTTTCTGTCACTCGCAATTCTGAAAGTATTTTTATCTGTGAAAAAGAAGTCTGATTATACATAAATTAAGTTTTCATATATTGTTCGACATTTATAATGACATTCGTGGCAGTGACTGTTTTGACTTCCAGGGCGTATTATTGCTATGTCATTCCCATCTTCTGGACGGCAGTCTTTCTACAGAAACCCCATTCAGGTGAGAGCATTTATCTAACAAATGCTCACATGTTTCAGGAACCACCAACTGTGGAGTCGTACATTTAATATTGGTCCGGAGATGCAATTATTCTCCTAAAAATGTACTCTTTCAGCTATCTTCTTTTCCTTAGGATTTTCTTTTTTAAAAAATATTTTATTTATTTATTTTTAGGAAGGGGACGGGGTAGAGAGAGGGAGAGAAACAGGAATGTGTGGTTGCCTCTCAAGCTCCCTCTCCGGGGACCTGGCCCGCAACCCAGGCCTGTGCCCTGACTGGGAATCAAGCTGGCAACCCTTTGATTTGCAGGCTGATATCCAATCCACTGAGCCACACCAGCCAGGGCCCTTATGATTTCCTTAATAACATTTGATATATGTCTTGTATAATGTCCTACACATAATATATGTAATATACATATAATGAATACAGTACATAACACAATAACACACAAAATATGTGTATATCGGCTCTGTATCCTGCAACTTTAATGAATTCTTCGATCATTTTTAATAGTTTTCTATTGAAGTCTTTAGGGTTTTCTCTATATGGTGTTATGTCTTCGGCAAATAATGAGTTTTATTTCTCCCTTTCCAATTTGGATGCCTTTTCTTTTTTTCCTTCTTTCTTTCTTAAATCTGATTGCTGTGTGTAGGACTTTCAGTGCTATATTGAATAATAGAGGGGAAAAGAGGCATCCTTAAAGATTATTTTTTTTAAAAAAAGAAAGTGGGCATCCTTGCTTTGTTCCTGATCTTAGAGAAAAATCGTTTAGCTTTTTGTCATTGAGTATGATGTTATTACATTGTTATCTCCTTGGAATATTGATGAAGTGCCAGTGAGTCATTCATCCCTTTACCATTTTTAATCAGCATATCTGAAGAAGCGGTAATTAATCCTCTGCTTTCATAAAATCCATAAATCATAAACCACCCCAAAAGCATATCTACTATTCATATTTTCATTTACTGTCACCTTTTGCCAAAGGGCAGGGTTGAGCCTGAGCTATTAGTTAAGCCTCCTGGGCAGACTGAGAATCAGGCAATGAAGGTGCTTCCCTGTTGCAGGTTCCATGATGACGCTGTGTCCTGAGAAGAGAACGCCTTTGTCATTTTTAGATAAGAGCCATCCACAGTTGCTTCAAATCAAGGTTGACTAAGGGGTGCAAAACGCAGACCGGGCCACACTCGACTCTGGAGAGAAGACGAAGTGGTCACGCGCTTCCCCTTCCCTGCGAAGAGGGAGTGATGTCGCAGGGTTATACTTTGAGCAGCATTGAATAGTAATGTGCAGAGCACATGGTAGACTTTCACAAGAGGTACAATGGAGTATTCTTCATTCTGGTCAGGGACAGAGATTGCCCCGCCGGTGACGGATTGTGACCCAAAACGTTGCTTCTTGCAGAGTTGAAGTTTTCTCTAGGCTTTTTAGGTCTCTGTTCAGTTCATTTGGGGAAGAGGTATTTGGAGTCTTTGATTAAGTGGTTTAGACCAGAAAGCAGAGCAGTAAATTGTCTTCATATTGAGTCAAGGACGGACTCATGGGGAAAAAAGAAATCAAAGCATTAATATTTCTTAGACATTTAGAGAAATATGAATGTGATTTTAAAAGTCCTTACAGTTTAACCATCCAGATACCTTAGTTTTCCATTAAAAAAACAAACAAATACTTACTGTCCTTATATGTAGGCATATTAAAGAAGACTGCACATAAATTAACCAGTGTGAAATGTTTGGTTGTCGAGAAAACGAAGGGTTCAGGACAGTCGTCTAATGGTCACGTGACATTTCTTTAGTGCTGTAATTAACCGCTAATGTTGGATGTTTAGGTGTCACAATGATCGGTAACACAGCAAAGGAGCCACGAAGACACAAAGCTTTTTCTGGATAGATTCTTAGGAGTGGAGTTATCTGGTTAAAGAGTATGAATATTTTAAGGTTCTTAGTATATATTGAGAAACCCAATGGATTCTACCAGCAATAAACCAAAGGTTTTCTTTTCTTGCCCTATTTGCCAGCGTTGGATTTTTTCATTGAAAAGGAAAGGCCTGATTTCATGGATGAAAATGACATTTCATTGTTGTTTTGCCTCCTTTACTGGTGAGGGTGAATGTTTCTTTAGGTAGATTATTAGCCAGAGGATTTTCTTTTTTGTGAGTGTATTTATGTCTTTGGCCCATTTATAGGGTGAGGGAGTAAAATTTAAATTATTGTTAGTGAGTTGTTAGTTTATACTAGTATAACTAGTTTATAGATTATATTAAGCATACTTTCTGTTCACTCCAATTTTACTGAAAATTCTTCCCCCCGTTCTTTGTTACATTGTGGCATTTTTTTAAACCCAAAATATCAAATTTTTATGAAATCCCACTTAAATCTGTCTATCTTCCATTGATTGAACACTTAGTTCTTCCTCATCCAAAAAATCTACTAATGTTCACTTAACTTTCTTAGAGATGTTTGTGGGTTTTTTACATTTCATTCCTTAATCCAACTGGATTTTATTGGGTGTAAGGGATCCTATGAATTTCTGTATTAGACGATTCATCCTTCCCACCCCAGTACTATGTAGACTCAGAATGTTTATTTATTTTTTTACTTGACAGGAATTAACCAATTAATAAATTCATCACATTGATAGCTTAATGTTTACTTTTCTCAATATTAAGCCAGCAAGCATGGCTCTGAGGGTACTATCCTAGTCAATTTTTAAGCTCTTTAATAGTCGTTTTTGTTGTTGCACAGACTCACACATGTCTGTGCGTGTTTGCTGAAACATATCAGTGTGATGAGAGTAACTGTATTTTAAAAATAATCACTATTTATTTCTTACTTTAAAAGTTATATACATGCATTGTGTGTATATACATGGACACACACACACACACACACACACACACATTTTCATTTCATTTAACCATCTAATTTCCTTTTCCGGTAGCTTAAGCCATGTGTATTTATGGTAGGGGCCAATCAGAGTGGCCAAGCACAACTTTGTGGGTTATTGGAAAACCATTAGTGGGTTAGAGATGACTTGGAATTGACATAACCTCCTACTTCTTGAATCTCCCCTAAAAGGGACTAAGTGAGGGACAAGTAAATAAAAGCTGATAGCCATTTTAGGTCACCCCTAGGCAGTGGGTTGTGTTGGTGCCATGCAGATATGTGGCAGAGGTGTGTCCATCTTTTGTAGGAAGTCGTGCGGTTCCTGGACACCAAGCATCGAAAACACTATCAAGTCTACAATCTTTGCAGTACGTACAGGACTAGATGTTTTACTACTCTAAATAGACAAGAGGCCACTGCCTATATGAAAATGATTCAGTTTTTGCATCCATTTTTGGTGGGGTTGGGAAGTGAGTTAAAATCTGTCCGTCTTGCACGGGCCCTATCTGGTAGGAAGAGCTGGCACACCAGCCCCCAACACCCGTGAGGCTGGGAGGAGGCCGGCGTGGAGGTGGGGCCATTTTAGGCAGAGTCTACCACAGTTGGTATTGGGTGGAGGAAAATGCTTCTGTTTTTTCTGTCCGTTTTGAGGTCACACAATTCAACGAATGCGTTCTTTAACCCACCAGGAGCAGGGTGTGAGGAGAGGCGGGCTCTGCCCGAATAAAACCAAAGCCCAGGGAAAACATCATATTCCAGCTCGCTCCCCTGTCTCTCTTGATTTCCCCTTCCTGTATAGTAGACATTTTTAGGAGGCAAACATATTTGTTGGCCACGTTTGCTTCTCTAGGATGTCCAACTACCTGAGCATAGTGTAATGAGTAACCTGTCAGAAAATAAAGTAGGGCTTATGAAATAAATCAAAAAAGATGGGCTTATGGTACTTAAGGTGGACAAACCACTACTATCCTGTTTTTGAAACCCTTAAGTTTCCTTTAGTGGAGCTGGAGCCAGTCAGAAGGCTCCTTTTAAAGGGGAATAAGGAATTTCTAATAGAAAAGCATAACTTATTCCTAACTGGATAATTTACTATGTTTATTAGGTGTATGTATCATTTATTTTAGGTGAAAAAGCTTATGACCCTAAGTACTTCCATTATAGGGTCCACCGCATCATGATTGATGACCACAACGTGCCCTCTCTGAGGTGAGTGTTAGGCCAGGCTGGCTGTCCGGAGAGGGCTACGTACACTGGGCTTGATTTTTTCAAAGTCTTTTAATTCAACTAAAAGTCTTACATTTAAATCAAACCAGGGAGATGGTGGAATTTTCCAAAGAAGTACGGAAGTGGATGGCTCAGGATGCTAAAAACATCGTAGCGATTCACTGTATGGGAGGCAAAGGTAAAAACGTTTTTCTTTCACTTCTCTTTTTCTAAAGAAATGAGAAACGGCAACGTATGAAAGTCCGGTGTCCCACCTGTTGACCAACACGCGGGGCTCTCGGTCTTTTTAATTTTAGTTTTTGGGTGGGTGCAGAGCTGTGTCTCATAATGGTTATCATTTGCATTTCTGTGATAAGATTTGCATTTCTGTGATAAGATTGAGAATGTTTTCATAGGTTTATTGGCCCATTGGATATCTTTTTTGTGAAGCTCTGTTTAATTTCCCTGTCCATTTTTCTCCTGGGTTGTTTTTTTTTTTATTTGACTTATAGGAGTTTTTTTATGTAATTTGGATTTTCAACTCTGTTATTTGTTACATGTATGTGAAGAAACCTTTTCTGCACTATAACTTGCTTCTTCTTTTTCTTATGATTATCATTTGGTTAACAGAAGTCCTTGGTTCTAACATAGCCTATAAGTTGTTGCTCTAAATCCAATTTTTTTTATCGACCTTGCAATTAGAAACTTCACCAAACCTTTATTAATTCTACTAATTTATTTATACATTCTTTTGGATGTTATGGTAAACACCTATATCATATAAAAATAATGCATCATATTTTTACCTTTTCAATCCTTTTATTTCCCCAAACACTGTCTAGAATGTTCAGTGCAGTGTTGAAAGAAAAGTGGTAATAGCAGTCACCCTTGTTCTGTTCCTGCTATCAGAGGAAAAGCTCTCAGTGTCTCACCAATTACTTTAAGGATTGTGTGTGTGCATTTTCGACACTCTTTATCAGATTAAGGAATTCCTTTAATTTGCTAAGAGTTTTTTTTTTTTATCATGAATAGATGTTGAATTTTATCAAAAGCTTTTTCTGAGTCTTTAAGATGATAATATGATTTTCTCCTTCATTCTGCTAATCTGGTTAATTACAGTGATTGATTAACAAATGGTAAACCAACCTTGTACTTCTGGAATCAACGCAATTTTGTTGTGTTATGCTATTTTTAAATAAATTTTTAGATTCTGTTTCTTAAAGATTTTTAAATTTATGTCATGAGTTAGATTAGCTATCATTTTCTTTTCTCATAATACTCTTTTCAAATTTTGCTTCATAAAACCAAAATTAGGTTGTGTTTTCTCTTTTTTAAATTCTCTGGATGAGTTTATGTAAGTTGACTTTTTCCCCCCCGTAAACATAAGGTGGAATTCACTATAAAGACAATTGACCTCAATTTCTCTGTGAGGAATTTTTAAAGTTATGATTTGACTTTATTAGATATAAAATTATTTATAATTTTATTTCTTCTGCCCACTTTGGTAGGGTGTATTTTTCTGAGCATTCATTCATTTTATCTAAATTTTCAAATGTCTTGAGATCAAATTGTTCAAAATATTATTCTAATGTCTACAGTGATATTTCTGTCTTTTCTTTCTTTCTTTCTTTTTTTTTTTTTTTTGGTTAGCCTCACCAGGGATTTCTCAATTTTATTAGTCTTTTCAAAGTACCAAGTTTTTTTACTTTATTTTTCATCTTTATTTTTTTGTTTTCTATTTGATGAATTACTACTATCTTTAGTGTTTCCTTTTTTCCACTTTTCTTTGGTTTAATTTGTTGTTTATTCCCTAACTTCTTTTTATTTTATGTTTTTACATTTTTTTATCCTCGCCCAAGGACATGCTCTAGAGAGAGGGAAAAGGAGGGAGGAAGAGAGGGAGAGAAGCATCGATGTGAAAGAGAAACATATATCAGTTGCCTCTTGTACATGCCCCAACCAGGGACCGAATCTGCAACCTGAGCATGTCCTCTGACCAGAAAACAAACCCGCAACCTTTTATGTTATGGGATGACATTCCAACTCACTGATCCATGCCAGCCAGGGCCCTAACTTCTTGATATGGATGATTAACTCATAGATTTTTAAACTTTTTCTTTTCTATTTAGCATTTAAAGCTATAAATTTCCCTCTAAGAATTGCTTTAGCTTCATCTCACAAGTTCTTACATGTTTTCATTATTATTTAGTTCAAAATACTTTTTAATTTGCATTCTTTTCTGTTATTTCACCCATGGGTTTTATAGGAATATGCCTCTTATTTTCAACCATATGAAACTTTTGTAATTATTTTTTAGTTATTGGTTATGGTTGTACTGCATTGTACTTAAAGAACAAATTATGTATCCTTTTAGTTATTTGAAATTTGTTTAGACTCGTTTTATGGCCCAGAATTTGATCCATTTTCTGGGCCATAAAACCATTCCAAATGTTTTCTGTGCACTTGAAAAGAAAGTGTTTCATGCATTGTTCTGAAGAGTGTCCTAAATGTGTCCATTAGGTCAATGGTTAATTACTTTACTGCAATCTTACATATCCTTAATGACATTTTACTTTCATTTGATTGAATTTTTTACAATGTTGTTTCTTCTTCATACCCACCACCATGAGCTTAGCAGTCATATATTCATTAACCTGCATCCTTCATTTAGCTATTAATTTTTTAAATGTTGACCTTGTAGTTAACAATCTTCTCAAACTCATTAGTTTTAGGAGTTAATCTACAGATTTAATTGGATTTTTCTATTCTGCAAATAATGAAAGTTTGTCTCTTCTGTTTCAATCCCTACACATTTTGTTTCTTTTACTTATCTTACTATACTGGCTAAGTCCTGTACTACAGTGTTAAATAGAAGTGCTGAGTAGTGGACATTTTTGTGTAGTTCCTGGGTTTAAAGGAAATGCTATCAACATTTCATCAGTAATATAATGTACCTGGTAGCTATTTTGGTAGATTCCCTTTATCGATTTAAGAAAGTTTCTTAGTTTTTCTTTATTTTTGAAATTATGAATATAATTGAATTTTAGTGAATGCTTTTTCCTGCACTTACTGATATTATTGCAAGTTATGCCTTTTAATCTCTGAATATAATAAATTATATTACTACAGATTTCTGATATAAGATGATCCTTGCATTCCTGAGACAAATGGCACTTGATAGTGATACATATTTTTCCACATTGTTGGATTCACTCTGAAGATATTTCAATGAATTTTTAACATCTATATTCATAAGTGAGACTAGTATAAAATTATCCTTTCTTCTATTATGCTTGTGCAGTTTTGGAATTAGTTATGCCAGTGTTATTAAATGAGTTGGGAATTTTTCATTTTTTACTATTATTTAAAAATTATAAAAGGGATTATTGCTTCCTTATGGATTTGGTATAAATCTCATCTTGTCCTTTTGGGGGGAGGTGGTGGCAGAGGCTAATTATAAATACAATTTTTAATGCAATGCTATTCTATTTAGGTTCTCCCTCCCTAAGTTTCAATTAAACTTTTTAATTGAAATTTTAACTATAAATTTTTAAATGATTCACATAAAGTTATACTTGCTGTGTTTTTATATTTCTACTGTATCCATAGTTTTGCCCTTATTTTTATTTCTAATATTTGTGCCTCCCTTTATAAAATCCATTTTATAACAGATTTGTCTATTAGTTTCTTGGGAAAAACCTGACGTTTAATGTATTAATCCTATTTTAATTTGTTTCATTAATTTGTTTTAATAGTTACATCATTTTTCTATTTATTTTGAGTATTCTTGTTTTCTTTTACTACTTTCTTGAACAAAAAAATTTAGCTAATTAAATTGCAATTTTAAAACTCTTTTATCTATGCATTTAAAAGTCTATGTAGTTTCCTGTGAACACTGCCTTAGCTAACTTCCATTTATTTAATAGGTACTGTTTTTGTTTTCCTTTAATTTTGAATAATTTATGTTTATTCTACTAACTCTCCTCAAAGTAATTCCAAAAATTTCTTGATTCTTAGAGAGTATGTAGAAGGGATTTTTTAAAAAAATCTGGATTATTCTTAAATTATTTATTTTAAATTAGCTAGTGTGTAGGAGTTCTAGCCACGTTTTTATTATTGATTTTTCATTGTACATTTTCAGAGATAGTGGCCTAGATTCAAGGTGTGGTCCACAGACTACCAGTATCAGCATCAACTAGTACCCCGTTAGAAAAGCAAAATCTCATAACTTAGCATGCAAGCTCCATATAGTGGGAAGCGGTGATGGACATAGCTTGAGAAAAAAATAAAGCGTAAGGGTTGTCATAAAAGGTTGTATAAAGTAGCATTACGATATCTTGCTGTTTGACTACGTGAAAGTTTCTTGGACTTGCAGAAGCTCAGCCTCTCTCTTTCCTTATCCTGGGTTATTTATCTCACAGAGTTGCTGTGAAGATCGTATGATATCTGTGAGGCATCACCCAAATTTTAGTTATCATCATTATGAAAGCCCAAAATTGTATTCCATTTAGAGGTGCAAGACGCTTCTGCCAACTTCAGGATAACAGAAGCTCTCGCACTGACTGCCGTCTAACCAGCCGGGTGGATTATGTGATGTTCTCCACTCCCTCTGTAAACTCGCCTGTTGGGGTCCGTGGGCATGTTGACAAATTGCAGCTAGAAAGCTTCTCTGTAGGGTGCCTTGTGTTTCTGCTCCCACCAGTGTCTGCCCATTCCACTTCTTATAATACTTATATCAAGTAATCAAGTATTAACGTAGAGCTGTGAAATGGCAGAGTGAACAGAAAAAGTTATAGATTTAGGGAACCTAAGTTAAGCATTTCAAGAAGATTCAATGAAGTTGAGTGGCCACAACCACAATTGTTAAATATGAGTTAGACTAATACAAAACACGGACAGAAAAATTCCAGCAGCAAAATCTAGAAGGGTGTGGCATCTCGCTGGCTTTCCAGGTTCTGAAGCTCGGGATTATAGATGATGCAGTGGTCTAAACCCGGGGCCTGGGCTGTCCAAGAAAGAACTGCAGAACCTTTGCCCAATATCAGAAGTTTAGTGAATAAACACATGTTTATGTTTTAGGTAGAAAACAGACAATGTCGTTTTTAGGATTCCCTGCGGTACCCGACGTGGCTGCAGGGGGGGCGTGTAGTGTGGCAGCGGTCATCCTTGTCCACGGCCACAAAGACGTCAATCTGCTAACGCGTTTTCCAAAGGGAAGGCAGCAGAGTTAGAGAGACCCGGCAATGTCCCCAAAAGTGAAATGTTAAATCACAGTCTACACACAACTGAAAGCCAGGCCGTCCCGGAGCTTTTATCTATCAGAACATGGTGTGGTACAAAGTCCACTCTTGGAAGTACTTGGCATAGAACAGTGGTTTTCAAACTATGGGTTGTACAAATAAGTTCAGGAGTTCATTTAAGAAGGATAGACTGGAAAATGGAGTGCCTCAGGTTAAAAGGGTAAGTTTGGAATTACCTGAAGTTCAGCACATACTGGTAAGACAAAAGCTACGGGTCATTGTAGAAATAAAAAAAAGCAGCATATTTTTAAACTCAAGTTGGTATGGCAGGACAAAAATATAAACTGGAATAAAACGTAAGAGACTTTGAGGATGAAATGACATAACATCAAGGGTTTGTCTTAAAATGCTATAGGAGGAGGAGGAGGAAAAGGAGGAAGAAAGGGAGGGAGAGAGGGAAGAAGGGAGGGAAGAGGAAAGAGAAACAAGTACAACGATATAATATGAGGATTCTAGAACCTGGGGACCAGGTACATAGGCGTATATTATACTGTTTTCTGCTTTTCTATATGTTTTGTGACACACTGGAAAACTCACTAAAATGGAAGGAATGACGGGTATTGCAAATGCTAGATGGTGTTTTGGCTTCTAACCATGTTCTTTTATTGATGGGAGAAAAACAGGGTGTGTGATCAGTTTTTCGCTGGCAGGAGGCCTCCGGCTGCGCTCCCAGGCGCAGCGCTGCGGGCTCAGCGGGCTCAGCGGGCTCAGCGGGCTCAGCGGGCTCAGCGGGCTCAGAGCGCGGGCGGGGCGGGGGACAGGGCACGTGTGCGTTCTTGCCCGGGGCGAGGAGGATTCCTGGCGGGACCTCAGAGCGGGGAAAGGCTTTGGCTGTGTCGGAACCGGAATTTTCTGAACAAGCACCTTCCAAGTGAAGGGAAACCAATTCCACATGACCCCCGATTGTTTCTGAGAGTAGTTTTAGACCACGTGCGCCCCTGGGCAATGGATCGTGAAGGAGCTTCTCTCCTTTCCTAGGAAGAACTGGAACGATGGCTTGTGTCTGCCTTATCGTCTGTGGAGTATTTACAACGGCAGAGGTAGGAGGACTGTTCCTGCACACTGTGTCGTATGCTGATTGAGTTTGCTCTTTCTGGAAGGTCCCTGGGAGAACTGGAGGATTGAGGCCTGGTACTTGAAATTGGAATGGGAGGGGCTGGAATTGGATGGAGAGCCGGGTTTTAACCCTTCCTCGCTTGCTTGTTGTGATGGCTGACCCAGAAGTCCCTTACTCGGGGCTGGGGCCGGGGGGAGGTCAGTACGGCACTCACCTTGGGCACAAACTTAAGAGACTGCCAGAATACTCCTAGTGGAGATAAACAACATTCGACTGCAGTATTTTTAAAAATCAAAATCAGTGCGGAAATATCCATAATGTATACAATATCAACATTTTAAATAAAGACAGGACCCCTTAGCGGCAAGAGTAAGGGAAGGGAAGGTCGTGCTCGGCAAGTGCAAGAAAGCTCAGCAAAATGACCCGTGGACACGGACAACAGGGTGGGGATTGACTGTGGGAGCGGGGGCGGGGGGCGGGGCAGGGGAGAGCAACCGGGGGCGGGGAGGGGGGATGGAGACGACTGTAATAGAAAAACAATAAAAAATAAAAATAAAACAATTTAAAAATCATATCTAAACTAGCACCAAAAAATATACAATACAGACTAAGCATCATTTCTAAAAAAAATAAAGATGCTTCGACTCTGTCACCAAGTCTGGGCCTGCTCTTACTCTGACCAATTATGGGACTTCCTCCTTTCTCACAAGAAAAACAGCCAGATCGGTTCAGCGAGTCTCTCAGGGACCCTGACCCTCCCAAGTGCTAGGTTCCAGCTCAGGACAAAGTCTCTCCTGAGTGTTATCTTTGCAGAGTCAGTATCTGTGGGGCTGTGCCCTCCGGAAACGTCTGAGAAGGCAGGGAGGGCTGTCCATACTTCTTAAGGCAGCGTTCTGTGTCTTTTTTCTGCCGCAATCTTGCCGAGAAGCCGCAATCTTGCCGAGAAGCCGCAATCTTGCCGAGAAGCCACCGCTCAGAGGGCGCCCTCCCAGCAGCCCTGGCTGGCCGCCGAGTGGAGAGGCGGTGGTTTTGCACGATGACCCGCGCTCCCTTGCCACCATCTTCTTTTGTTCTAATTTGAGACACACAGGTTGTGACAACGAATGTTCTAGGACAGTGTTTTTTAACTATGCTTCACAATCCATGTGTTATAAAATCAGCTTACAGGGTTGTGACTCATTTTTTTTTTTAAATAAAACGGAATAGATTAGGAAACGTCACATGTAAGTCTTGTCTTGTGAAATTGTGTTTCACTTGGGTACGTGCATCTCCTAGGTTTGTTAATGTGGATTGTGGCTTTCAGAATAAAAAAGCCTGAAAGCCACCGATCCAGAGCCTTGGCCAGAGAGCCAGGGCCTGGAGCTCCGGGCCTGCACCAGGTCTCACTGGCTGCATACGTCCCCGTAACAGGTCCTGGGTTTTCCTGTGGCCTCAGCCTTCTCCGTTTGTAAAATGGAAAGGTAGGCAGAGAGACCAGGTGATCTAAGGTCTCTCCAGCCTGCAGTTCCACATCCGGATGGATCTTCGAACGAGAGCAAGCCCCGATGTGGCTTCGTCCGTTCTGTCGTCAGGGGTAGCCTCGCCCAAAGGCCGGGCACTTAGGGAAATGTGTGCCCTTAGAAACTTTAAGAATGCCCTGTGCAGGAGCGGGAGAGGTGGTGAGCCATGATAGGACGGTCCCCGTTCCCGCAGGAAAGTCTTCGTTATTTTGGAGAACGACGGACAGACAAAACCACCAGCAGCAAATTTCAGGGAGTAGAAACGCCTTCTCAGGTAAGTTTTCTTTTTGGAAAGGGAGCCCTCTGGGGAAGTGGGTTCAGATTGGCACCTGTTACGTGGCTGCAGTGTAGGCTTCTCGGTGGTGGTCAGGCAGCCGCACTTGGGTGCCCAGGGACAGGCCTCGTCCCCCGCCCCCCACCCGGAGGCTGAGACCTGCACTTGGGGCCCGGCCCGAGCTTCGCTAGCCCTGCGCTCTCCCCAGACCACCCCGCTGCCCGCTCCATGTTGGTCACTGCTGACAGGGTTCGGGCGCTGATTCCCTTCCCAGAGAAGGGAGGAGGTTCCGGGCTTCCCAAGACCATCTCAAGTCGGTGGTTGGAACCGAGTCTTTCACGGTGCCCAGCTAGGGCGCTTCAACCCTTGCAGAATAGTGTGTGTGTGCGCGCGCGTGCGTGTGTGTGTGTGTGTGTGAGAGAGAGAGAGAGAGAGAGAGACAGAGACAGAGACAGAGACAGAGAGAGACACGCACACACAGAGATGTGGCTGGGGCTGTCTTTTGAGTGAGAAAGAAAAGGGGAAAGTAACATTTTTCAAAAGCCTATTATATACCAGACGCTGTTATGCACTATTATATTGCCCTTTTATCCGTATTATCTCATTTAATACTCAGATAGCCCAGGTGAAATATATGCTATTACCTCAATTTTTTCCTTTTTAAAGTGTTATGGAAAACGTCAAACATAAAAAGTTGAGACAACCAAAGTATCAGTGCGTTCACCTGGCATCAAGATCTACGATTTGATTTTCCACCCACTCCCCCCACTGCGCGCGGTCACATGTCCCACGCTCTGACACGTGTGGGCTGTGTGCGGCTTCCCAGACAGGCAGCACTTGACCCCGCGGGCCATTGTGCACGCGAGCCCCCCTTCCTGAAGTCCCTTTCCCTTTTCAGCCCAAAGCAGCCTCCGCTCTTTCCGTTCTTCCAGCCCTTCTTGTTCCTTTCAGGGAGTCTGTTACTTCACATTATTCTCCGTTTGCAACAGTGACGTCTCTCCCCCTTTGCAGGCAAAGCCCCCATCTTACCCGTCTCTCCACCGCAGGCATCCCCAAGGGCCTCAGGTAGTACGACCCACGTCTCCTCCGTCTGGGGCACGCGCTCACTCCATGCCCCGCGGGTGTACTCACGCCTGCTGCAGGCCCTTGGCGCTTTCAAAGGCCGGCGGAGGAGGAACGGTGACAGGAAGGCAGCGTGAGGGCCCTGCTGGGTCGCAAGCCTTAAGTGGGAGGGAGAGAGTCGGGGGCAGGAGCCACGACGCGGGGCGCTGGACGTGACTCCCCCAAGGCCCCTGCTGTGCGCCCGCCCTGCCCCATTCACAGCCGGGCTTGCTTTCTCTACCTTGAGTCCGGACCCGGTGCGGCCTAACCGCAGCAGGCTGGCTTCTGAGTTCCCGGGATGGCAATGCGGGGCCCAGGGCTCGGGTTCGAGCGCTGCCCTGGCCAGAGTCCTAGGCGTGGGCGGTCGTTCTCAGACACCGCCGCCTTCTGACCCCGCCCTGCCGGCCGTTCCATGTGGACGACGTTTCATCCACCCCGAGTCCAGAACTTGAACGGCTCTTTCTGGTCAACTGGCCCCTTCTCATGGAAAATAGGGCAGTTATATGTTTTCCAAACAAATTTTTAGTATCTTTACTGATTTTAGAGAGAGAGGAGGGGAGAGAGAAAAAGAAACACCGATGTGAGAGAGAAACACCGGTTGATTGCCTCTCATATGCACCGTGACTGGGGATTGAACCTGCAACCTAGGCACGTGCCCTGACCAGGAATCAAACCCCCAGCCTTTTGGTGTGCAGGACGACACTCCGACCAACAGAGCCCCACTGGCCAGGGCAGTATGGCAGTTAATTTTATTAATGCTTCCTGCTGGGAAGAGTGAATTTTTTGGTCCAGTTGATCAGCGCCAGAACTCGTCCACGAAAGTGAGCTGCTTGCCATCGGCGAGGGACCGTGCTAAGAATTCCCAGGGCTTCCTGGCAAGCACAGAATTGGGGAAGGGGACAGGGAGGAGACGGTAGCTGGCTGAGGCGAGAGGCGTGTGTGTGCCACCGGCCTGGGGGGTCTTCCTCCTGAGCGTGACCTCTGCCCTCTCTCTCTCGCCTAGGCAGCCCCTTGCTGCCACACCACAAACGGTCCTTTCACTCAAGTCACAGCGAAGCTTCTGCCCTCAGCGAGACTTGTGCCCGGGCGCAGGGGACTGTGTCTTGCTGGCAGCCAGCTCTGTCACTGCTTTCGGTCAGCGCACGCTCTGGGCGGTGGCAGCTGTTGGCGACACCTGCTCTTTGCGGGGACTTCCCACAGCGTTTTTTCCCCTTAAGTCCTGAGGCCACGCCCATAGAAGTGCAGAGTTATCTAACGGCACCCAAAAAACGGTTCCTTAGTAAATAACTCTCCTTACATTCCACGTAGAAAAATAACTCAGATAGGCTGATTTTGGACTTCCCCTCTTCACCTAAACTGAGGCTTCTGTATTTTTTTTCTCCAGAGTCGATACGTTGGGTATTTTGCAGATGTGAAAAACATCTATAACTTGAGTCTCCCTCCAAGAAAACGACTTACGATAAAAAAAATTGTCCTTTATTCAATTCATGGTAAGCGCTGTATGTACAATCGGAGAATTGGGCGCGGGGTCGGGGGCAGTGTTCTCACTGTTTGTTGGGGAGGATTTGGCGCAGAGTCCCGCGCACAGGCAGCCCCGGCTCGGAGCTCCCGCTGCGTGTCCCGCCAGGCGGGCCCCTCCCCGGGCACCGCCGTGAGCCCCGCGGTGCTCAGCCGTCTCCTCTCTTCCTTTCCCGTCGCTAATTTGGGGTGCTCCGTCCCCTTCCCTTTTCTCACTGATGGCCGCGGTGGACGTTTCAGGGCAGCCCCTCTGAGCCAGAAGAGAGGCCGGGCCGTGGGTGCGGGGCCCCCGCTCCGCCTCGCGCCCACCCCCGCGCCCACCCCCGCGCGCGTCTGGCTTGAGAGAGGCGCATCTGCTCCATTATTTTCACCGCCGTCTTTCTCTTCCGCCGGCTCCCCCTTCCCCTCCCTCCTCTACCTGTCACCTCTCTCTCCCCTCAGCATCTCCCTCAAGATGCCCGAAGTGCCGAACTGCATGTGAATTCTCTTGCCACACATTCCGATTCACAAATAACTGCCAAGTACCTGCTCTGGGACCCACGGCCTCAGGCCCTTCGAAGCGGGCGCCGCGTGGGGAGCAGAGCAGCGCAGCGCAGCGCAGCGCAGCCGGGACTGGGATAAAGCGCCGCCCTGTGCAGCCCGGGGTCACGGAAAGCTTTCTAGGGGTCAGGGCTTAGGTGTCCTGACCGGAGTCCGCAAGACGCGGGAAGAGCTGGGAAAAACCTGGGCTCCGTGGGGTGTGTTTAACCCCCAGCCTTACCAGCTACTGCCAGGAATAAAAATCCGTATAAACTTCGGGAGGATTGACTAGGTCTCCATCACCCAGAGCAGCAGGGAATACGTGAGCTCTCCCATCTCTGGGCCTTGGGAGAGAAAAGAAAAAGCCAGAGGGAGGAATGGGCCTCCAGCTCCAGGGCTTAGCTGCCTACACATGTGCAGGACTTTGAACCAGCCCTAACGTCTTACTGGTTCCTTATGAACAGATGAGCTAAATAATTTTCGACAGGTGCTTTAAAAAGGTCAAGGTACAGGCCAGGGCTCCGGTATGCAACAATTTCTGTCAAACGGACGGGAGAAGGAAATAGGATTTTATATCTGCGTGTATGTGCGTTTGTAAAACCTGCGGGGGAGTAGATATTTTTATTTGATTATAAATGCATAAAACAAGAAGCAAGTAAGTGTGGTTATTCTCCACCCTACTTGGGGGTGGAGAATTCCATAGGTGTGGGACAGGTAAAATGGATTTTTTGCTTCATGTCTTTCTTACCCTTAATTTTAAATCCTGCAATTACTTAAAACATTTTTAATGTGTGGGAATTAATTTACGTTTGTAAATCAATGCCCTTTTCTTTTCACGTGGTAAGAATGTGCCTTTGTGGAGACGGGAATGCCGGTGATTCCCGGCAGCTGTGGTGGGGGCAGCCGGGACGGGAGCGAGGGGACCGAGGCGTGGGGGCCCCCGACCGCCACGTCGATGATGCGCTCTTAGTGGAGGCAAAAGGGAATGCAAATGAAACAATAGTACGAGGTGAACGATCGAGGCAGGTGACGACATGGCTTTATGGGAGTATTTGTTTCAGTTCTGTACCTTTCCTTAGTCCTGTGCATCAGGAGGGTAGGGAGGAAAGCAATAAGAGTTCCTCGGAGGGCTTGAGAAACTCGCCCTTTGAGGAAATGCTGAAGGAAGTGGATCATTTGAATTGGGGAAAAAAAAAAAAGGACAAGAAGCCATTTGTCCTAAATATATACTGAACACTACAGGAATGTTGGGGTATCTTATATTTTCACAGAGACTGCTCTCTAGGAACTAGGGAAAGAGGAATACAGACTGTTTAGAAATGTCATGATTTGAAATTTGAAGAAAGCAATGCATTAGCAAGAAAGGCTGCAAGCCACTTTCCCTAATTTCCTTTTTTTCTAGAAAGGTGAAGCTTAGAAGCCGAAGTATAAGTCTTTTTTTTCCCCCTTTTTTCCCCCCAGCCCAATAAAGTCCGCTTTAGGAGGCAGAATTGGCTTGAAGCCTTGTCTTTCAAAGACAAATTTCATGCAAACTCAAATAATTCAATGTTGATACATTGTTAGCTGGGATCACTTCTCTTTCTACTTCATAATGCTAATTGGTGAGCCATTTTGATCTTCACTCTTTTTATTTCCATTCAGGTGTTGGAGAAGGCAACGGAAATGATCTAAACGTACAAATAATAATGCACCAAAAGATTGTCTTTTTCTGTTTTGCTTCTGAAAACTGTAGGGTAAGAGAAACCATGTGACTGAAAATCATTGTTGTAAATCTCAACGTCAAATCAGCAGGTTGGCCTCCCGGAACATCTGCTCACCACAAGGAGAGGCTATGATGCTTTCGGTTTACCACCCAATTTGGAGCCCTTGGGTTTGAATGCAAGTCAGAGCTAAATTAAACTAATTGTTCCAGATAGTTTCCAGAGCATTTTCCAGAATATATTTTCAGTTCGGAGTGTTGCGTTGGTTTTCACTTTCCCTCAGCGCCAAGCGTATGCCCAGGAATCTACCAGTTTTAAAGTCATGGCTCTGGCCCGTTTTAGCCGCCCCTTTTCTTCTTGGTCCTTTTGCGATAGGGCACTGGTTCTGCCATCCTAGTACACACGCCAATCACCGAGGAGCTCGTAAAGATGCACATCCTTAGGTTGTGCCCCGGAGGTATGATCGGGGAAGCCTGGAATGAGACCCGGGGTCTCCAGACTTGGCATTGCCCCAGGCGGTTCCTACTCAGAAGCCCTGGGGGACCTATGAGAGAAAGGGGACAACGCAGGAGCCCCAAAGCGATGGGCCCAGGTAGGCAGGGTTTTCTCAAATGCTGAAGAACACCCAAGACTCCAGGCCTTCTCCGAAGCGCTAAGAGAGCTTCCCTCCTGGGTCTCAGAACCAGACGCTTACAGCTCTCCCAGACTTGTCTCCGGTTCTCCCTCAACCTCACAATGCCACTCCTTCCCCTTCTTTTGGCCCCTCCTCTGCCCGCTGAGGGCTCTCCCCTGGGTGGATCCTCGGCTTTTTGGTCACGTGTCTGCACAGGCTCTGCTCTTGGTTCTGCTCACTCATTCCGCTGCTTTAAACACTTAGTGGAGCTTCAAAGCCATTCATTCCAGAAATCTGGCCTATCTTTGGTCATTTCATCTAGCAATCTACCATGAACACGGCCTATCGTGTTTGTTGGACAAAACGTGACCAGTTATGTGTTGCTTTTTGAATGTGAACGCCAGCTTGAAAATTGAGCTTCTTAGTGTATTCCCAAAATATGAAAACTGGGAACACACATTTGACAGTAATGTTTACTTGGTGAAACCCTAATAGGAAATTGAATGCTTTGCTTTTTAACAGCGCCCCGCCATAACCCCCAAACCTACTGGCCTTTTAAAAATGTAAACAACAGCCTCACAACTTTATAGAAATAATGATTAACATGTATTTATACATGTTGTAATGGGGCCGTGGGACCGAGAGGATTTGGTAAATACAGGAACCCTCAAAGAGCTTCATTGTTACAATGACCTCATTCTCAGCTCTCTGGTCGCCTCACTCTCTGAATGCCACGTGTTCATTCACAGATAGTTCATGATGTTGAAAGAGACAGAGTGACAATTAACCTCTGCGGCTGCCCACCTCTGTGTGACGACGTGAAAGTGCGGTTCCTGTCTCCGGTGAGTAATCAGAGGCCACGTCTGCTGTCCTTCTGGTCTGGTCTTTCTCATGATTCTGCTCTGGGACTGCCTTTGTTACATCCCCAAGAGGGGAGGTGACAGATGTCAACTCCTAGCCAGGGAGGAAGGCAAAACCAAGTCAGATCCGTAACACTTTTCTTTTTTTTTAAACAACAATAATGTAATTTAAAAATTTTTGCTCATTTTTTCTGGATTCTGTACAATTTGCATGTATTAATTTCCACATAAGTAATATAAAAACTAAGATGTAAAAAAGGCTAAAGTATGTTTTACTACATAAGCAGGGATTACATTTTTGTTTTATATCTTTAAAACACATTGCTCCCCATAATTTATAAAATAGTTTAAGTGGGAGATTTTGCTTTTCTCTGAATTGTTATGTAATACATTATACACAGTATTTTAATCTGATATTTACTTTGTGAAAAAACCAATATTTACTTTATGAAAAATAAGAATTCTGCTGTTGTCATCGCTCAGGGTACCATGAATGTATAATTTCTATGTCATAAAATGTATGCCTGGGTGGGCATTCCTCTGTATATAACGCACTTCCAAGTCTCAGTAATTTCAATTCATTTTCCTATTAAATCAGCAACCTAAACTGCCCATAAGAAACTATGTCCATCTCTGGGAAGCTTTCCTGTGCCCGCCTTCTGCCCCGGCTTGCTCTCTGCTGGGGAGAATCTACTAAGTGCTAAAGGGGTGAATGTGTTGAAGCAGGTGGCCTGGATAGCTGCCCTGTGGAACAGTTACCCCTAGAATAATGGGGCCAGTGTGAATTCTCTGTCAGTCACTGGCCCCCTGGGGAGGGGCGCTGGCCCGGAGGGTGCGGGGAGTGTGTGGCTTTTACAATTTTCAAGGTCCATGAGATGAAGACACGTGAAAAAAATTCAGGCGTTTCTATCATCATCAGTGACAGTTAATTATATAATAAGCTGCTCCTTGTAGAAATGGATGGTCTATTTGGGCATCAGTAGACATAGCTCCTTAGTAGGTTCTGTTTAGCACTATCTAACCCAGGCTAACATGTATGAATATCCATCATAGAAAAACCACATTTCCTTGACAGTTTTGGTAGAAACAGTCGTCACTTAAAGCCTCCTTCTTTGGGTCCTCAGAGGAATGTTCTAGACTCTCTGTGCTGCACATTGAATGGCTGCAGCTGTTTGATAAATATATAAATGACTCGAGGAAGGAATTTTAACCCCTTTGGAAGTGATGAGTTCTTGGTATCAATTTTACTCTGAAGAATAACCCTTTCTTTTTTTCACTATGTATTTTTAGGCTCTTCCTAAACACTATGACAACTGCCCAATTTTCTTTTGGTTCCACACGTCTTTTATACAAAACAACAGGTATGGCTTATCATATGATCCCATAGAAACAGCCTTATCTCCCATGAGTAAGGTGTGATGCCAAGTCTCTTGCCGATTGCTGTAGGCTCAGTTTACAGAAACCAAAAAATCCTCAAGTTGCCAGTCCTCGTTCTTCATTCCCATACTCCTCTGAATCTGGTTATTTTAAAAATGTGGCTGTTCTTAAAACCGCCTGTGGCATTATCCCCACGGTCCACGCCACAGGGCTGTGCTGTCTGTTCAAACACGGTGTAGTCAGACCTTGAGTGTGGTAATAAAGCTCTCCCATGGAAGCTTGGGCCTGCTTGGTACCTTAATAAGACAGATCCTTCGTATGTATTGACTTACTGGCGACCAATCACCACCGAATTCTGTGCCAAAACAAGGCATCAGCTGACGGGCTTCAGCTGGTTTAAAAGCTGATTGATACACAAGGGCAGAAGTTACAAGACATAGTAAGTATCAATGAAGACAGCTTAAAAAACATTAATGGTCTCCCATTTAAAAGTGATTTCGAATACCTCAATTGGGAACAGCTTTTAAAGAGGTAATCATTAACTGATTTGAAGGTTTTTATTCCAAAGAACCTTCCACCATATCTAGAAACTCATTTCTGACTCTAAAAGTTCTACAGTTGAGGATCTGTTCTGTGGTGCTGAAAATTTGAGATTACTGGTATCACCATACCACCCAATACTAAAGGAAAAATAATACTCAAAGAGTCTTGAAGTGGCTGTGCTTGTACGTGGCATGGATTGATAGTTTTCATTGCATAAACTCTAGCCTGCTCTCCAAATCTGAACTGCATCTAATCACACCTCAAGCCCAGGGAGGGAATAGTACATTGAACATCTAACCTGCACACTTAATAGTGCACACACATGTAATGGATTTTGATAGAGCGAGCTTCAGGTTGGATGAAAAATTTTACCAGTTTTCTTCCCTGGTTCTATGCAAACAATAAACTTTAACTCAGCAGGAGCAAAGTCCCTTACATAGGCCTCTGGGTGGAACTTCATTGGGTGCACTCCTCAGGAGTGGTTCTTGCTAAGAAAGGATGCAATTTTTTTCCTTTAAAACACCGTGCTCGTCTTGGTGAGGCAACACGTTCAATCACTTTCCTCCTCGTTTTTACGTGTTTCTAAAGATTTCTTCAACACTTGTATTTCCATGCTACTTGGTAAAGAGGTTTGTGTTCGTTGTGAGACTGTTAATCAGCTGAAAATGCCAAAGTCATCATTTGAAAGACACCCAGCATTTTGCCCTGGCCGGTGTGGCTCAGTTGGTTGGAGCATCATCCTGTAAATTGAGAGGCTGCAGGTTCGATTCCCTGTCAGGACACATACCTGGGTTGCATGTTCGGTCCATGGTCAGGCACGCGATGTTTCTCTCACATCAGTGTTTCTCTCCCTCTCCCTCCCTCCCTCCCCTTCTCTTACGATTGATAAGCACCTGCTTGGGTGAGGATAAAAGAAAAAAAGACAGTCGGTATTTTATTACTGGTTTTAATACATATCTAGCTTCTGTCACATATAGAAACTTATTTTATTAAGTCCAGATGTCACTAATTCCATAAGAGGCAATGTGAAAAGGACCAGTGACACGTTGTTACTGCGTGTATCTCACTGGAGGAAGCGGGGTGTCAGGCTCTCGGAGATTGGTACAAGGCCCAGGGCGGCCAGCACAGGTTTTTCCAAAGCTTTAACAAGGTGCCCTACTGAGTGGCTTTTCTGTAAGCCCTAAAATGCATTTTTTTTTTCTATTCTAGGCTTTATCTTTCAAGAAATAAATTGGATAATCCCCATAAACCCAATACATGGAAAATTTATCGTCCAGAGTTTGCAGTCGAAATATATTTTGATGACATGGATCAAGTCATAGCTGGTATCTGATTAAGTGTACTTCCCCTTCCTGGATAGAAACGTATTCTTCCCAGCCCCTGCTACATGTTTATATCTTCAAAACCTATTTCCTCCCTGGTGTGCTAATATTTACATGTATGTACATATGTTCTTGAGAAATCTATTAATATATATTAAATATATACAAAGGAATATGTCAATAGCAATTTTTTTCCTTTTTGAAAAATGTCACACACAGTTTTGTATTGAGATAAATTTGGAACGCAATACACAGGAACATCAGTTCTTGCTCTTAAAAGCTTGAAATAGAACTTTCATATGAAAATAATGGAGGTATTTGAAAACGGTGAGTCCCCCCTATACTGTAGGTTTCTTTCATTTACTTATATATTTTTTGGACAAGTATGTCTTCCCGGTTTTGTTTCACATTAGTAAGTTCATATTAGAGAGGCTTTGTCCCTTGGACTTACAAACCGAATCCACATTGGCAGCAAAGACTGTTTTAAACCCAGAGAGTTGCTCCCACGGCAGCGGCTCCCCCTGCGCCCCCCCCCGCCCCCGGTCCCCCAGGCCCTACTCCCGCCGCTTCTCTGTCGCCCTCCAACACCGCAGGGAGTCGGGCAAGCCCCCTCCAGCCACACAGGCGCAGGGGGCGGGGAGAACCATGGTCAGCGTGAAGGATGAAGAACCTTCAGGAACTCCTGCTTTTGGGCAACGTCGCCAGTGAAGTCGAAGGAAATGCTGCCTGGAGATCCAGATGATCATCGCCCCCTCTCGCCCCCCGCTAAGAACCTGCGCCCCCCGAGCCCAGGGGCCAGCAGCGCCGGCCCATCCTCTGCCCCAGGGGAGGCCTTTCCTCTCTGGTACCCGGTGCTATTGGAGTCTAAGCACCGACACTACCACGGGGCCACAACGCCGTAACCGTCCAGGAAAACAGTTGGGCTTTACTGAAATTGTCCTCCTCCGAGTGGTTTTTCCTTTCATTGGCCATTCTAGACCAAGTAAAATTCATCAGGAAACAAAGGCAGTAGCGAATAAGCAGACCGGTGCCTCTGTCAAAACACTGTACTCAGTCCCGAAAACCCTTGCCCTCTGCAAAAAGCACGCACTAAAGGAACGGTTTGTGCGGGGCGGGGGGACCGGGCTTAGGACAGGCCACTCCAGCTAAGCAGCGTTGTAACCAGCACCGATGGCAGCTCAGAAGGCCTGGCAGCTGCCATAGTGTTTTTTCAAAGGGGGGAGCTGGGGCGATGCTTGAATCGGGGACGAGCTGGTGGGTGCCAAGTGGCACAGAGGACGGGGGAGCTCTGAGCTGCCATCGTGGTCGACCTGGCACAGGTGCGCCCTTCTTTGTCCTCACAATAGCCCACAGAGTGTCCCTGTTGTGCTTTTGACGAAAGCTGTCTTCCTCCTCTCCCTGAGCCGGCTCCCCTGGAAGAAAGGACCTCGGAGGACGTGCTCCCAGGGCGTCATGACTGCATCGGTCCCTGGTCACGTGTGTTAGGGGAACATGGGCTGCGGCCAAACAGGCTGTCGTGTGTCCTTTAAAATTCATGCCACAATCATCCAGAGTGCAGGTCCGGTGGCAGGCTTGGCTGAACGGGCGGAGGTGCCAGTCCTCAGGGGTAAGATGAGGGGTAAGAATCATCTTTTTCTGCACTGGCTATCCCCACGTGTAAGCAGCGTGCTTTTGGATCTAAGGAGATACACTTAGGGTTTCCCTTCCCTTAGCCTCCAAGATCCATCCAGGTTTCGGGCAGGGAGTCACCACACCCTTCTGCTTCCCCTCCTAGAAAGAAAACTGGGTTAGGTTCTCAGGGGGGTTGCTTCGTTAGAAGCCAACGTGAATAATTCTTTGAACACAAGAAACTTACATCAGAGCCTATCAGAATGATACTGGCTTCTTCAAGGGGCTTTACTAACCTGGGTGGAAGAGAACTATCCAAAATGTAACAGGAAGAAGTGTAACTATTTTAAAAAAATAGAATGGCAGCCGAGTCCACAGCCTGACGGGGCAGACCGTAACTCGGTGAGCCGAGCTTCCTACCTGCAGCGTGTGTAAAGAACTCTTCATGTACTCAAACATTAGGCAAATAATTTAATGATAGAGAACGCCAGAATTTCTCTACACACAGTATTTCAAGTTACTCTATTTTTGTCTGGAACACAGATCTGAAATGATACGAATTATACGGAAACACTGAACCATGAGTTACACAGAATGACAAAAAGATCCTGACCCCCTGGCCTTGCTCCCACTCCTCCCTGCCCCCGCGGCCTCTGGTGAAGACACCTAGTTAACCCTTCAGAGGTAGACACGCGAAGCCAGCTGCCAGGGCTGAGATGGCCGGCAGGCGCCAGGCAGGCGGCCGTGGCCCCGATGCCGCTTGCTTCCTGCTGGAAGGCGGCCCTGTTTCCTGCTTCGCCTTGTTTCTGGCCCGTTCAGACGAAGCACCGTTCTGATGGCCCAGGAACAGCGGCCCATCCCCAAGTCCATGGGTGTCAGTGGAACGAGGGTGGTCGTTAGTCCACACATGTGGCATAATAGCTTAGTCAGAATCGCTTTTGTTTCATTGTTTTATGAAGCCACCCCGCATCTGGAGCCATCATTACCGTTCACTGACAGCCAGCACCAAACACCAGCGGCGCCCACACTGTGGGAACCATGAGGGAGGAGGGATGGACCCCAAGGGAAACTTGAGAACGGCCAGCCCTGACGTCCCTCACCGGGGCGTGCGTGTGTGCACACACTGTTTGGCTCTGAGGAGAGGCCTCCATCCGCAAGCACTGCCATTCCAACACCAGAGAGGGGACAAGGACCTCTCATGGCTTTGGCTCTCAACTCCCTGGATGGGTTTCCAATTGGTGGAGACAATGAGTGAGTGGCCCAACAGAATACTCTGGAATCTTACCCAGCCCAGGACCCCGAGACAGAAGTTAAGGGCTGGTGTCAGCCACAAGGTCTTTGCAAAGCAGAGCAGCACGGCCCCCAGCCCCCAGGCCCAACACTCAAGCCACAGCCGACGGTGTGTCGGAGGGGAGAAGGGGACCCCATCCAGAAAGTGAATGGCACAGTTTTAACAGCAGGACATCCTGGGGAAATCCAGGGCGTCTACTCTGAAACTTGAATCGGAAACACGGAAGCCGCATCGGTACACAGGTACATTCATCTCTTTAAAACCTAGCTAGATATTTTGGTTTTCAAGCACCATGGGAAGCCTTTTCAAAACTTTAACCACTTGGTGTGTTAAACAGATTTGGAGAGCGACCCCACATCTAGAATACGCAGTCGCTGATGAATGCTTCACGCACTATGGCTACCTCTGTGTTTTTCTGGTGTGATCTGAGATTAAACATGGAACAAAACTGTGACTCATTCACAGCGCACCGTGTCCAGGCTGTGTGTGTGTGTGCAGTTGTGCAAAATCCCTGATGTTATAACGATATTCATCTTTTCACGTCAGGTACAGGCACCGGGGGCTCGCCCTGTAGGTCCCACCACGGACAAGAGCAGCAACTTTTCTATTTCAGGACAATTATGGGCAGAAATTAAACTACGTACAATAGAGGTCCTTCCGTAAAGTTGAAGATTGAGGGTAGAGGAATGGAAGACAACGACAAAATGCTTTTAAATCAAAATAATTGCACATTGGTCTTGTACTCCAGGAAACCCTGAGGTGAACTACAGTCCGCAGGTCCTCGGACCGGGGCGCAGGCTCGCCAGGACGCTTCAGTCGGCCTCGAACTGGCTCATCATCAGCTTCCTGCTGTACTCATAGGCCAAGAAGAGCGCCCCATTGGCAGGGAACGCTCGGATCATGGTTGGCTTCAGTCCGGAATACAGGGCCAGTATTCCTAGAAGACAAAAGGGAAGCAGAGCCTGAGACCCCTTCCTTCGAGACTTCCCTCAAAGCTGCGCAGTGTATTTTTACAGCTACAAACCCATACAATGGCATTAAAAGCCAGCTCGTAAATGAAAGGGCTTCTTTCCAAATTTCCGTGGAATAATGGAACGAGACAGGCCAGGGACACCGGGCAACATCAGGTCTCCGAGCAAAGCTGGTCGCTGCTCAGGGAACGTGTGCCCATCCTGTGCCTGGTCCACTGCGGGGAGGCGGATCCGGCAGAGCTGAGGCCGCCGGGGGCAGGCAGGAGGCGGCCCCAGAGCCGCAGGCTGCAGCGGTGGTGCGGCCTCTGCTTCGGGGCGAGGACTGCCAGGCTCAGGGCCGGCGGGGAGAGCGGTGAAGTCCGAGACCTGTTTCCGGCGTTAGCACTGCCAGGGTGGCGATGAGGGTCCAGTCGGATAAGGGAGGTGTGAGAACTTTGTGAAACTATGAGGTATTACGTAACTTTAAAGAACTAGTAATACACAGGATGCCTGTACTCTCTTTGGGAGATGAATTGAACAGTTTTTGCACACTCTTACTGTACTCTCACAAAATCAAGACAGAAGGGTTCACAGGTCTTCACTCACTAGTAGCATAAAATTGCTTTCATGCAAACAGTAAGTAGAAAACTTCATCCTCCCACATAACTCTGAAAACTGCTAGAGAGTCACCTTCAGAAGTTGCTTAGTGCATCTTTAATTCCAGAACTCTCAGGATTAAGGAGGCTGCACATTCTTTTAAATCCCTTAGTGGCTCCCTTAGGGTGATCTTCGGAAAAGATCCGTAGGACATAAAATAAGTGACTCTAACTTCAACATGCCTGTCCCCTTAAACAAAGCTCGCATTTTCCTGGGCCCTTCCAGCTATTTAGAGCAAAGACCCCTGGCAGGTCCCTGGCGCGGGGGGTAGGAGTAAGAACTTCAAACACTCTTGAGAAAAAGGAAAGCAAGCGAAAGAGGGGGGGTTGGAAACAAGTCCACGGCCGGGGCCAGCAAAGGCGCCCAGGCAGGGCACAGGGCGGTGCTGCTCCTCGACGGGACCAGCAGCGACAGGACGCACCGCCACCCACCCGCGCCGGCCGCAGACTCACCTTCATTTCTCACGATGCTTATGCAGGTCCCAATAAATCCTGCCTGTTTCCCAGACATGGAAAGAACTTGAATTCGAGACTTAATACAATCCACCGGGTAAACAGCAAGCCAGAGCGAAATGCCACCAACTCCACCGCTCAGCATCAGAGGGACAGGGCCTGAGGAGGAAATCGGCAAACGGGATTTTGTCGCGAGAACAGCTGACGTGACACTGCCAAAGGTCAAGGTGGCAGCTGCAGGCGGGTGCAGACAAAAAGGCGAAGGTCGGGGAACACAGACCTCTGAGGCAACTGTCGAAGCTCGGAGGGCACAGGCCCCGCGCGGTGTGGCAGGCTGGTCAACCCCCGCCTGGCCAGGACGGAGCGCCCTAGGCAGGGTCGTACCTGGGCTGGTCACCGTGGCACTCACTGCGGCCCTCCGGCCCCCAGCGGTGGTGACGCCCAACCAGGGGAATAACACTAAGGCCACGGGAACACAGGCCTTTATTCCACGTTCTCCTTCTTCAGTATTTTCCTATTTTAATGCCCAGTAGCTGCGGTTCTTGCTTTGAAGCATGAAAAGCTGGAGTTGTCTTATTAAACCCAACAGTTAGGCCTGGGAGCCGGACTAGCCCCAGGACACATCCCAAACACTGCCAGGAGACAGTTAAGAAAAAAGTAACCACCTGCATGCCAGCCAGGCATCGACGTGTTGCGTCAAGTGGCTAAATAAAATAATGCTGGAAAGAACTGTAAAATTCCACTCCTTTCAAAACACTGGCAAGATTTATTACCACATTTTAGGTTTATCGCAAGATGATTTATAAGTGATGTCCCCATTTATGGCTGATTTCCCATAGGGAAAGGAATTTCTGTATTTCCTCGCCCCTAAAACAGAGCCGGAACAAATTAATGAATGTTAGTCCAGTACAGAAGCTCTGGACACGGCTTCAGCCCGTCCTGAGACCACGACCAAGCCCAGGGCAGGTGCCCGCGAGCGCCAGTGCCGCCCAGAGGAAGGCACCCACCCCGTTGGACCACACCGCGGAAGGCTGGTTCCCGCACGCCCCCGCGCGAGCGCGCACTCTTACCTAGCTCATCTTTGGATCTCCCTGATGCAAAAAACGATCGACTCAGTTCATAGCCGCCGAAAAAGAAGAAATAGCCTGGTACTTCTCGGAGTAAAGTGCTTGAGAGTCCATGGTAGAAGCCCAAGGGGCCATCGGTTCTGAGGATGGTCTTCACGACAGACCAGACTGTGCTGGGAGGGGGAGGGGGAGAGGGTGTTGAAGACAACGAGCGAGCGCATTCGTGCCAATCCGCAGGCCTTTTCCAGCTGCAGGGAGGGAGCAGCTGGTTTTATAAAACAGAGGCACCAGAGTTCTGGGAATAAGAGGCTTCGGTGGGAGGCACATGCCCAGAGAAGCCTAATACTTCACGACAAGCTGGACCACCTGAACTATCCTACAGTAGAGAAGTTTTATTAAAATGGTTAACACATTTTTAAAAGTCCTATTATCAACCATGTAAAAGAGTTAAGACCCATTTTTTTTTTCAACAGTGAGTAAGTGCAATTACAATAAGGAGTCTCCAAACTCAGCAAAAAATAATGGTATTCTCTTTGCCCGGCCCTCGCCTCTCTCGATTCCTATGTCCTCAACCTTTCTTAGGATCTGGGGTCTTGAGAGGGTTTACTCTGTGGTTCAGGGGCATCATTTTGTGTTAACGCAGAGAAGCGGCCAAGGGCGTGAGTGCTCCTTGGAGACACAGCCCAGGAAGCCGCGGGGAGTGAGCTGCAGTTCCTCTCCCGCGGACACCGCGGACACCGGGGACTCAGTTCTCAGAGAGGTGGCCGTGCAGAGTCCGAGCAGATCACAGGCACTTTCCCTCTCGGCCCCTCTTCCCGATGCTGGGCGCCCGGGCGTACTTTGTCCCCGGGAGCCACCACCAGAAGCCAAAAACCGCCTACTCTCCTCGCTCCTCGCTTCGCTCCCCTGGCGGCTGGCTGGGACCAGCCAACACAGGATTGCGCCCCGAGGGAGAAAGATAACTGCTTTTAATGATCATCTCCCTCTGAGGGCCTCTCTGCAGGTCCTTCCGAAACACCCTCTCGTTCTGTAATTCTGCAAATGGGACAAAGGGACCCAGCTCAGCGTCATCAGCCTGCCTTCTAATCCAAGCCTGAGGCTGCCACAGCCCCCTGCGTGGGCACTGTTGTGCCTAAGATGTGGCCATCTAATACTTTTGTGCAAGGTGTCTGTTTGCCTAAGTCCGCATCTAACAATTTCTTTCTTTAAAAGTGCCTTAAGCTATTTTCAAAGGCAATGAGGGCTGCTTTATGGGTGCTGGTAACGTTCTGCTCCTTACTCAGGCCACTGGTTACAAAGGCACATTCATTTTGTGACTACTTACAGCTCCGCAGACTGGAGGTTTCTGAGTGTATATATTTCAATAAAAAGTCTGAAAGATGTACGTGCTTGGACCTCAGGCTATGAATAATATCTTCAAACTACTTGTGATCAATCTCAAGGCCGCAGGAAACAGGGCTCTGCTACAAACCCCGCCCTCCCTGCAAGGGGATGGGATGGTCGCCCACGCATTTCCTCCCAGCACATCGGCCGGCATGCAGGTACCCACAGCCACCAGCCAGAGGGTGGAGATTAAAAAGGATAATCAATTACCTTAGGATCCAAACAAAGCATACTGTATTTGATTACTCACAGGGTAACTAGATTCTGCTTTCAAGATTGCCTTTGGACTAGGTGATCCCACCTCTGGGAATATAGCTGAAGGAACCCAAAACACTAGCTCGGAAGAACGTAAGCACCCCTATGTCCATTGCGGCATTATTGACAATCACCAAGATAGGGAAGCAGCCCAAGTGTCCATCAGTAGATGAGTGGATACAACAGCTATGGGGCATTTACACAATGGAAAACTACTCAGCTGTAAAAAAAAGAAAAAGAAGAATAAGAAGAGAGGAGGAGGAGGAGGAGGAGGAGGAGGAGGAGGAGGAGGGGGAGGGAGAGGCGGGGGAGGGAGAGGAAGGGGGAAGAGAAAGAAGAAAAATTTACCCTTTGTGACAGCATGGTTGGACCTAGAGAACATTATGTTCAGTGAAATAAGCCAGTCAGAGAAAGACAGTACCATATGATTTCACTCATGTGGGGACTCTACTGAACAAAGTGAACTAACAAGCAAAACAGGGACAGGCTCATAGATACAGAGGACAGCTAGTGGGTGGGAGGGAGGAGAGGGGGTAGAGGGATCGAGCAAAAAGGAAAAAGGACTCGTGGACACGGACAACAGTGTGGTAGCCATTGCAGGGGGGTGGAGGGTCTAAAGGGACTAAATGGTAAGAGAGAAGAAACAACAGAGTTGGAGAGGTTTGATCACTGAAGAGAAAGCTAAGCCTACAAGGGCTTTGATGGGTTTTCAGGACCTGGGCCCTTTGTAGGTGAACCTGAAGGACTTGGGGGGCAGGGGGCGGGGTCAAGGAAGTTACCACCAGCATCTGGGCGGATCGGCTGGACACCTACGTGAATCCTGGGAACGAGCATCAGATAATCACCTCTGGATCCAAACGAGCCCTTGCGAGGGCTCAGCTCTCAGCACCCAGGCTGCCAGCCGCGTGCCTCCCAACGCGGCTGGGGGTCACCCTACGCAGGCAGCAGGCCTTTCGAAAGGAGTATAACTCCCTGCTTCCCCACTTCTGGGGTGCTGTGTGTCTGTCGGGTGGGGTAGTGGGTCCAACCTCACAGTCCATTCAGAAAATCTGCCTCCGCCTGGTAGGGGGAAATGTTCTAGACACGCCCGTATGTTGCAGTGGCTACATCTGTTTTATGCTCTACTACTTAATTGTAGTACAACATAAAATTACAAAACGCCCCCCCCCCCCCCCCCCCCCAAGGCAGCAGAGACCCACGGGCGGCAGCAGCGGCCTTACTTCTGGCTCTTGGCGATCTTCCCCGACGCCTCCATCTCGAACATGGTCTGCAGCCGGCACTTCACGAGCTCGGTGGGGCAGAGCGCCAGCGCCGCGAACGCGGAGGCGAGGGACCCGGCCGCTGCGTTCTGCAGGTCGCTGAAAGGACACGGCACGGGAGTGCGCGGGTGAACAGGGGGGCCCGCCGTTCCCCCCGGGGTTTCCACATGGGGAAAATCGCATGCCTGAAGGCACACCGCTCGCTGCCAAGCGGCAATGCTGGGGTTTGAGCCCGGGTCTGCCTGACTGGAAAGCCTAGGCTCCTTCCACTGGTCACAGTGCTGTGGGCAGAATGGGTGCATCTCCCAGCCCCGGGTCCTGGTGCTGAAGCCTCAACCCCACTGTGATGGTATGTGAACGGGGGCTTTGGGGGGGCAAGTAGGTTTAGATGAGGTCAGAGGGTGGAGTCCTTGGGTGGGATCCGAACCCCTAACAGAGGAGACCAGAGAGCCGCCAGCTCGCACCCCCTGCCTGCCATGCAGAACATAGGAAGGTGTCCCCCTGCAAGCCCAGAGTAGGCCCTCCCTACACCCCAAAGCAGAGGCACCTTCGTCTCAGGCTTTCCAGCCTCCAGATGTATGAGGAACTAACGTTTGTTGTTTAAGCAGCAAGCCAGTCGTATGTAGTTACAGCAGCCAGAACTAAGACACACAGTGACACACAAAACAAAACCCGGAGAGGAGGGAGAAAATCACCCACAGTCCCGCTGCCGGAGAACTTGCTCGCAGTCAATGCTGAATACTTCAGGGCACCTGCCACTGAGCTTTGCATAAAACTAGGTTCTGGGACCAAAGCCAACCTGGAGCAGACATGTCATGTAACTGCCACACGTGAAAACCCAGGGTGAATTTTTAACCAAAAAGTCGCTCATTCCAAAAAGATCTCCGAGTTCAGCTGATGACCTCCTGACCTCAGCAACGCAGGGCACGTGGGAGAGGGCGCAGCGCATGCGCGTCGGCCGACGCCGGCTGCAGGCGAAACGGTGGGGCAGGACGCACACATGCGCGGAGGCGCGGACGCACACAAACCCCGAAGCGGCCGTAGCCCCCTTCTCGTCCCGCATCCGCTCCGTGCCCCCTGCCAGTCACCAGTGGAGGGTGGCCAGGGAATCCAACAGAGTTCAGGAGTCACAGGGCACAGGCCGAGAAACAAACCGTCAGGAAGGCGTCGCCGAGAGAGAGTTCGTGGGGTCAGAGAAGATGGCCCTTCCCGCCCCTGAGACAGCACCCCCGGCTTGGGGCCAAACGACCCTGCCCCGGGGCGGGGGCGCGGGGAAGACAGCGCTGCCCCCAGCAGGACCAGGGCTCCGTGACAGTCCCCTGTTAAATGCCAGTATCCTGCTGTCATGCGCAGGCACCACTCTCAGATTCCCAAAAGCCCCGGGGAACCTCCTCAGCTTACGGCCCCAGGTACAGCAGCCCCCGATGATTTTCCTGCAGACTGTGGGCAAAAGCTTAACGTGCCCACCACACTCAGCCGTCCTCAAGCTACAATGAACTAACTGCTTGTTACATAAACAGAGACCAAACCTCCGTGTCAACTCAAGGGCCACCTCCAGGGCTGGCCCTGATATCCTCCCCCCGGTGGCCTGGCCTTGGTGCCAGGGTGGACGAATGTCCAGCGGGTGTCAGGTCCCAGAGGGCAGGTCGGAGCGGCCTTCTCTCGGGAGGAAGACACTGCTGCGGCCTGGACTTCCTTCTGAGGTAGAGACCGGGACGTGAGGCCAGCTCCAGAGGAGAGCCAGGTGCTCGGCTGCGCGGGCGCTCGGGCTCCGGGGAAGCAGAAACTGCGCCCTGCTCACCCGTTCCTTCCCCTCCACTCCCACCCCCTCGGTGGGCAGAACCAAAGCCTGAGATGACTCTGCTCTCTCTCGGCCAGCCTGCACATCCATGCTGGGGCCCCACGCAACCTGCCGGCAGGCAGCAGTCAAACAGGGTCAATAACCGGTTTGCCGAGTTTCCTGGAACGGGGGCATCGGTCAGCCGAGCTGCCCGTCCCATCTCAGACGCAGGCGTGACTGGGGCAGGCGTGCAGCTCCAGCCACGAGGCCAGCCGGGAGCTGCAGCGGACTTTGGCTTTCTCTGGCATAATTCTCATCAGCCAGCGCACTCGGGGCGCTCTTGGACCCCAGGCGGTGCCTCAAGGGCTGGGACTGAAATGACAACAGGCGTAGAATGGGATTTTCTAAGAATCGGCTGTTTGTCACCGGTTCAACAAACATGGACTGGCACACTCCTGCCGTGCCAGGTCAAACACCCTGTCCAGTCCAAGGTCAAAGGCAAACAGCACCAGCGGCAGTGCCCTGACTGGGAGCAGGCCAACGTTCCCAGCATCATTCCCAGCGGATGTTCACAACAGGTCCTCACAGGCGGTCCTTGCCTTCCGCTGCTCTGCTCTTTAACCTTCCACTAGATCCGGCCCCGACAGAACACCCCCGAGCCCCAGCTGCGGCTGCAGGGAGGGAATGCCCCATGGGGGCTTGGGGGACGGGGGCTGGAGCCCGGCTTTCTGCGCTCCAGTGTCTGCACTGTGCTTCCCGTCCATGGGGCACAACACCCGCCCTTCTCCCATCCTGGCCCCCCAGACCCCCACCGTGGCCCCCGGGGACCCCCAGTGAGTGCTGGAACACGGCGCACACCTGTCAGAGTTCTGGAGATGCCTAGACGGCATCTCCCCGACAGGGGACAAGCCCACTCTGTCCTGCAAGGTGACAAGGAAGACTCTGAGTTCAAAACAGACCATCGAGTGCTGGTTTAGGCCGGGGGCCGCAGGAGGTTCCCTCGCCATGGGCCCCCCCAGACTGCCCGTGGCTGCTCACCGTTGCCTCGCCTTCCCCCCAAGGGCCCCTCCTCGGCTCCTGTCTCCAGTCTGTTGCTTAAGGGGGACGGGCTGCACTCACAGCAGGTTCTTCCCGTCAGACTGGTCTGCCTTCTGCTGCTCTCTTCCCCTCCTCTCTTCTTCCTGACCCCTCTGCACTGGGGGGCCCTGGGATCCGTGCCCAGCCCCCCACCAACGCTGTCTCTCTGAGTGGGTGCACCCCGTCTCAAGCTTCCCAAGAACAGGTGCTGTCCATTGAGACAGAATTCCTGCCTACAGAAGGGCCCCCTAGGGCCCCCTAGGCACCTCCAAGAGACTATTCTGTAGCAAAGAAGCCTCCGATTTCAAGTTCCTACCACAACCACCAGGACGCTGGCCCTTTGCATCAAGAGGCGAATGTAACAGTTTTATTTCCAATCTATCAGCGTTCCAAGGGGGCGTGGCTCAGCATCCCAGAGGCGTCTAAGTTCTTTTTAGTGTCCGTATGATAAATGCCCACGATGACGGGACACAAGCCAGAGTCCAGTGTCGGGGGCAGATCTGGCCAAAGGAGGGTCACCTGTACTTTCTCAGATGCTCGGGCCCTTCCTAAAAGTCCACCTTTCTCCTCAGACCTCTTTCGAGACTCTCCATTTTGCTGATGAAGGAGAACCTAAAGCTCGGTGTCCCTGGTTCCTGGCCAGCGCTTCTACCCCCAGGAGAGGCAGCCCCGCCACCAGCATCTGAAAGGCACCCTCTCACAGCACGTGTACTTCTAGGACCAAGCTGCTTCCTCTCCACAGGGGGTCCCTCTCCTCCTTCAGTGTAATAAGCAGCCCTTGCATTCCAACCCAGTCACAATGTATCCACCATCAGAAAGAAAGAAAGGGTTTTTTTAAAAAGGAAACACTCTTCTCCATAAAATACTACGTTGCTACTTTAACAAAGGAAAAGCGGGTGGGTGCCCCGACTCACCTGAGCTTCGCCTGCTTGTCCAGGCCCACCACCTTCCGCACCACCTGCTGGCAGAAGCCGTAGCACATGAAGAGGACGGAGTTCTCGGCGATGTTGGCGATGAGCGCAGGACTGGTCCCCTTGTAGAAGCCCCGGAAGCCCACCTGCGAGTAGGTCTTCAGGCAGCAGTCAGTGAGGCCCCGGTACAGGTCGGGGAACGTCTGCATCTTCACCTTCATGGTGTCGAAGGGCTGTCCGGTCAGCACGCACGCGGTGCCCCCTGCCAACGGCACAGGAGTCTTCAGCGGCCGCGTCTACGGCTGTTGCGGGGGGCTGCCTCGATGCCCCGGGGAAATGGGGCCCGGGCAGCCGGCCCTGCCCTGGCCTCTGCTTCAGCGCCTTCTCCCCCTGCTCGCCCCAGCCTCCTAACCCAGTCCAGTAACTACGTAGGTGCCCAGCGCCCAGCTCCGGCCCCGATGGAGCCACCTGGGAGAGGGACGTCTGTGGGCGTCACAGTCAAGGCCACCGGGTACAGAGGGGTGGCCTGTGTTTGTTAGCAGCTCTGGCAATGGGGTCGGGGGTTGGGGGGTCAGGGCTTGAAGCCTGGCTCTGCCATCAGGTCCTCGCCAAGTGACGGAACTTCCCGGCCTCAGGTCCTAGGGGGTTCGTGTCAGCGGCTGCTGCGGAGGCTGAACACACGGGGGCGGGGGGGGGGGGGGGTGCCACAGCCACTGCACAGCAAGCGGTTAATTAGTAGCAGTTCTCGTGGGTGTGTCCCTTTTAACAGGAAGCGGAGGGAAGTCTGGAAGAGTTAATCCCTTCTCTCTGCTGCTGCCTGCTGGTGCTGATGACTATCAGAGAAACAACAGAGGAACAGGCAACAGATAAAGGAAACAGTGGCTAATTAATCCCTGAGGAGTTAAATAGCTGACCCTACAGAAAAGCCTCTAGTTGGACTCTACCAATGCAGAATTTGTAATCAGACACGGAATGAACTGAAACGTATCTTTGCTTAGCAAAAACCACATACTTAACTTGCTTTTATACTTCAAGAGCATTAAACACAGCGAATCTAAAGATGACTTCAAGAAAATTCTGAAGGGAAGGAAAAGACAGACCTGAAATGACCCTGTTTTTCCCCCAGACCCTGGACGGGGTCTGCCTTGTGGATGCTGCCACTGGCCAATGTTTCCGCCTTCCCTGGGCCTGCAAGGCCCCTGTGTGTCGGCTGCCCCGGGCTTGTGTCGCAAAATATGACCCCTGGATGAAGTTATTAAAGCCTAATCAAAAGTGAGGAGCGCGCCCTGGCTGGTGTGGCTCTGTGGCCTGTGAACCAACGGGTCGCCAGTTTGATCCCCAGCCAGGACAGGTGCTTGGGTTGCCAGCCAGGACCCCAGTAGGGGGCGCGTGAGATGCAACTGCACATTGATGTTTCTCTCCCTCTCCTTCTCCCTCCCTTCCCCACTCTAAAAATAAATAAATAAAATCTTTAAAAAGTGAGGAGAAGGGTTACATAAAATATTTAAGAAACAAACTCACAGACATAGGCAACAGTACAAAGGTTTTCCGCTGGGGGAAGAGGGTAAATGAGGTCAAATACACGGTGACGGAAGGAGACCAGACCACGAGCGGGGAGCACACAAGGCAACGTACCGGTGACATATCACAGAATTACACAACTGAAACTTACATGATGTTAACAACCTCGATCAGCCCAATAAACTTTTAAAAAATTTAAGAAACACAATTTCATTAACTTCAACATGATACGTAGTGACTCCAACGCAGTTGAATAAGGTAGAGATGGGGGAGGGGCGGCTAGGAGTAACTCCCAATTATTAGCAAAGAGACAGGCATTTCCAAAGAGTCTGAAAACCGAGCTCTTCTTTGAAGCAATCACAAGTATGATCTTTGTGAGCCTATCCTTACTGTTTGTTCCTTGTAGGAGATACTGTATTTCTGCTTTGTCTTACCAAATTATCCCCAAATCTGAATTAGTGGAATGTCATTCAATAACACATTACTATAATTAGGGTTATCCTCTCCTGGGTACTGATGGGCCAGAATAAAAGATCCTAATTCTATCCAAATAGTTTATTCCAAAGGAAGAGGTGAAGGTCAGACTTTTTAAAGTTGGTACATGATTTAGGTAACTTAGAAGCAAGTAAACCAAATAAAGTATTTCATTTGGAGCATTACTATTTTAACTGGAAGTTTTCCCATATCTTAACACAGTCATCCTGAATGGTTCAGACTTTGCAGGTTACTTATGATACATGCATTTGTTGCGTATCTGTAACCGTTACATTTCTAACAGGAAGAAGGTAGGAGGCTAATGAATTTTCAAATGCTAGCTATAATTCTCTCCTTTCCCCCAGGGGGGTAAGCTAATTTCACAGGTAATTAACCGCCCACCGAGGGTGCTGTCCAGGCACGCATTGTGCCCGCCCCCCGCCCCGCTGGGGGCGGGGCCGGGGCGAGACCTTTCTGAGCAGCAGCACCACCCGCAGGGACCCAGCAGGTCTCCGGCACCGGCCACATCCATGAGGCTATGAGTCAGTTGCAGGAATGAGCTATTTCTCCACCTGCTCAGAGCTCAGACCTCTGACCATCTCACGTCCTCACGCACAGGGAGGCGGCCTCTGAGTCCTCTCAAGCTGTCACACCTGGCCGCGCATCTGATTCTGCGGGAGCGGCACTCACACCGCGAAGCGTTCTGCACTCCGCCAGGCTCGCCGCTGTGGATTTTCCGTCCCTGATGTAGTTGCATTAGCAAACGGCAAGGTGCTGGGGAAACCCAGGGGGCCAGGCAGCGTCCGCGGGGACGGACAGCTCACAGGGCGGGCAGGGGTGAGAGTTGGGGAGCCAGCCTCACCCGGAATTGCCTGGCGCACCTGCACAGAGGCAAGCAGTCAAACGCTGGGCTGAGCAACACGGACGGACGCTGCATCCTTTTCACAGTGTTCCGATCAAAGGAGGCTGTTGGTGGTTCTTAACTGTGGCACTGGATAAACGCCAACGATCTAAAATGCCACGTTCCCCGACGACGCTGGTTCAACAAGGCACACGCCGCAGCAGAGCAGCCAAAGCAGGGCGAGCAGGTTTCACACTCCTTGACCGACTGCAGGGCTACCACGGGCTTCCCCCAGTGCGGTCAAGCCCAAGATGCACGCTGCCTATTCCAGTCGCGATCCGGTCACCCATCTTCTTCCCCTTCCCCGTCCCTGCCCCCTGGGGCTCCCCGCCCTCTCCCACGATCCCCCCACAGTAGCTGCAGCCGGACAGTGACGGCTTCCCGTCAGACGAGCTGGACAAAAAATCTGCTTGGAGGAGACCAGGTTTGCTTAAAAGAAAAAGTAGAGACACTGGAGGACCTGTGTATCTCGCACCCACATCACCTCAGACCTCAAGGGGCTCTGCCCTGGCACACTAACCCCGTCCTTGGGTGGACTGTGTCCGCAAAACCCTCGGGCCCCTGGTCCCGCCCAGCAGCAAAATCCCAAGGCCTAACCGCTTCCCCGTGCACAGAGCTGGGGCAGCGAAGGTGCCACACTAACCCCCGCTCCACGCTGCTGTCGGCCGCTTGCATATTAAAACAAAGAGGTGACAGAACTAGACGAGGGACACAGCAGCCCAGGCCCCAGCCTTGCGTTTACCCACCAAGCTGTGTGAGCCCGAACGCGTCCATCTGGGCCCCTCCTCCAAGGGCTCAGTGAGCATTAGAGCCGGCGGTCTCTCCAGGCCCTTCCGGCTCCTCACAGGGGGGCTGAGGACCCTCCCGGGTGGGCCGGCGTCCGCACTGCACACAGAGGGAGTTCTAGGTCACCACCAGGAACCTCCTCTGCTCAGGGCGGTGCGGCAGCGGAGCAGGCTGACCCCGCGTCCCCAGGGCAGGAAGAGTCTCCATCGCAGGGACACGAGCCCCGCGCCTGTTCACAGTGTGGTAACTGGCAGCCTCCGCGCCCTCCGCACCAGGCTCCCAGCAGCGCGGCTGCAATTCGCGGCTTTAAAATGCACCGTAAGTTACCACCGTGGCACACAGGTGCCTCTCTAGGCAAAGGGAAGCTTTTCAGCTCTTTCACAACAGATCTGACATCTCTGATAAACCGAAGGACATTGAATTCCAAGAGCTGATAACCTCTCATGAAGTGAAATATCCGCTGACTGCAGAGACTAAATGCCCCACAGTTTCCATGTCAGTGTCTGAATGCGGCAGGGAGGGGCGGGCGGCGGGTTGGGGGGCGCGGTGCAGGGCCTGAGGGGCTGCAGGCGGATTCCACAGCAGGGTGAGCGGCTGGCCCAGAGGCACACAGTGGGGGGCAGGGGGGCGCGGAACCTAGGAGCCCTCGGCTGCGCCTGCCCCTCAGGTGGGACACTCCTGTGGTCTCTAAGGGGGAGCCGGTGCTGGGGGCCTTCGCTCAGCCTCGGGAATGCGCGGTCTCTAGCCTTCCTCATCAGCTCACCTTGGCCAGCCTTTGGTTCATGGGAAAAATTGTTTTCCCCCTCTGAACTGCCATTTCTTTTTTACAATGAAGCAAATGACAGGGTGAGAGCAGGCGGCCGTCTGAATGCACTGGTTCTATTGAGCCACAAAGTCCCACGTGCAAGAGGACAGCAGGCAGCCCACCCCCGTGGCCTCTCCATTCTAGGGAGCAACAACCCATTAGAAGAATCGGTGTGGAGGGCGAGGGCGCACCAAGGTCTTCAGCCGGGGAGTCTGGGCATTTACCCGAGGGCTCCTTTGACCCTAATAGCACACAGGCAACTGGAGGGCAAGGTACCAGCCACCCACTTCCCACTCTGCCCCTTGCGTCAGGCCGAGCAAAGGTGATCTTTCTCAAGAGTGGCCTGTCTGTTCCAGGCTGCACCCAGAGCACGTACCTGTGCCCCGTGGGGCCAAAGTCCGCCCCAGGGCCCCACGTTACCTTGCAGGGCTTTAAGACTGGTGAATGGCAGTCTCGTTCACCAAAGACATTTCTAAAGGGAGTCCCTCTTTCTTTCCCTGACAGGAGCAAGGACGGTAACCAGGATTCCCTGGAGAGATGGCGCGGCGTTATTTTTGCACAAGGGCTCTGAAGACTGTCAGGCTTGGAAGGGGAATCCCAAGTCACCTGCACATCCCAGCCCTGTGACAAAGGACACGGGAACTCTGCTCTGCGGTGCCATGGTTTCCAGCGGTAAACTGGGGACCTGAGCACCCCGCGCTGACTCATACTGTTTTAATACGGTGGGCGCTACTCTACCAGCTGCTGCGCTCGGAACTCCGTATTACACTTGCGTTCAACAGCCTCGTTCCGAGCTAACGCATACCGATGTGGGGGTGAAAAAGGTCGTATTGGCACTGTGCTTCCCTCGCTCTCACATGCAGAAAGTCCCAGAGGAGGAGGGGATGGAGTTCCCGCCAGGGTTACCTGCGGCGCCTGCCGTGAGGTCGATGGTGGCCTGGATGGCGGGGTTGGACTTCATGTTTGCCCGCTCCTCTGCTGGGCTCCTCCAGAGGCAGCTTCCTGAAGCTTATGACGGGCACCGCATGTCCCTGCGTGGGGACAAGAGTTCACCGTCAGACAGGCGTCTGCAGCCTCCCTATCCGCAGGCCTGCTGCCTGGCTACTGGGCCAGGACTTCAGGGAGCTGGGGCACCAGCCCTGCGCTGCTCCAAAGGGAGCGGGCTAAGGCGCCAGCGCGGCTCGGGATTGGCCTCTCTTTTCACCCGCCCCCCGCCCCGCGCCCCCCACCCCCTCACGAACAGCTCCCAGGTCCAAAAACCTTCCTAGAGCATCAACGCTAAGGCCACTGGCAAGAGGCACTTCATTCCGATCATCCTGAAACCCTTAAACGAATGCCAGGTAAGCGAGCCAGCCCCACACGTCCTAAGCCACATCTAACTAGCTTTTCAGAGGCCTGAGTCGAACCCTCGCTCTACCAGGCTCAGTTCTAAACGCAGCAGGGCCCGCGCTGGGTCCCCTAGAGAAGCCCACAAAACGGCCGGTGCGCGACCAACGAGTTAGGAGCGTGACCAGCAACCGAACGCCTGCCGTCTCTGCCACCAGCAGCGTGGCCTCTTGGGCCCCTGAAGCTGGGAGTCCTCATCTACACAACGGTGAATAATGAGAGTATTGTCACTGCAGTAATACCAGGGCCACACAGACAGCCCCGAGGGACCGATGTGATCATGAACGGTGACCGCGCGCCAGCGCTCGGAACTGCAGAGCACAGCACCCAACGTCGGCCACGATCATCACAGTCCCCACCGGCGCGTCTCGGGCCTCACGCGCACAAGGATCCCCTGGGGACCTTGCTGAAGTGCACGCTGACAGACAGGCCTCAGGTGGGACCAGCCTGACCCCCAGCCACACTTTGAGAAGCAACTCCTGCTCCACTGTGGCCCCAATTTGCTTGATAGGAACCACCTGGGGCACCTGTTAACGATCCACATGCTTAGCCACACACCCCCACCCCGGAATCTTGATTCACTATAAAAACTAGAGCCTTCTCTACCTTTAGACAAGTATCAAAGGCAGCTGAGGCAGACTTCATATAATATAGACTTCAAAAAGGACGCGTGCCTCATTAACATAGAGCATTGAAGTAACCAATCCAGCAACCAATTCTGTACGGTTTTCAAACAACATGAGGGGCGCATCTGTGAACAACAAGGAACAGGTTTTGCTCTCATTGCAAGAAGACCCGCGCGATCCGAGTCAGGCTGCCTTTCAGGAGGGGTAGGCAGGCTGGGTCCCCGGTGAACGCCAACGTCTCCTAAACGTCAGCAGAAAATCATTTTAGCCACCAAACGTTTTTTAACTGCTTGAAAAAGGTTGCTAATGACCAGACGTCAAGAATCTCACTTTCTTTACAAAAATAGAATATATATATTAAAACCAGAACCACCAAAACACCAAAAGCAACTAAGTTCGAAACACAAGACAAGGATTTCAGGTTCTTGTTGGGCCTGGAGAGGCAGTACTAGTTGCTGAGGTTGATGAAGTGCTGGCCACCCCGGATCTGGAGAAGGATAGCAAGGTTCTAATCCAATGTCCCCCTTTCCAGGTGGACAATTGGGGCCAGAGGAAGATGGGCTGGGGCTGGGGCTGGGGCTGGGGCTGGGCCTGGGCCTGGGCCTCCGGCAGGAGCCGCAGGAACAGGGCACAGTCTACGTGGCCTCTCAGTGCCTTCATTCCTTTTGGAACGTGCATTTCTTTCTCAGCAGCAAAGCACAGCGGAAGGATGCCACCAGGGCGAACCCTTTAGGGAAGCCAAACACGCACGCCAAGTCTACAACTTCCTTGGAGAATTATTAGGATAGTCCACAGTGATGGGAACGAACACCTAAGTCACAAAGTGTGGGCTCCTGATTCAAATAATGCGCAGCTGTGGCTCGAGGGGATTCGTCAGCCTGCAGTACCGCCTGGAGTACAGAAACTAAACCCTTCCAGCGTCCCTTCATCCCCCTTTAAAACACCAGGGTCTGACTTCAGGAGAAACAACAGCGCTCACCATGCCGCTTATCTGTTCCCCAGGGAAATGAATTTCTCTAAAGGGAGAAACCCACGAGACCGCCTTCTACGGGAAGGTTCCAGCTCCAGGGGAAGCAGGAGGAGGCCGCCCTCCAGCAGCGACCCGAGCTGGGGCACAAGGGCGCTGGGACGCAAACCGCCCTGGGACTAAGCAGTCAACGTGGCACTGCTGCCCCTGAGCCTCGGCATCCTCGTCCGCACGAGGGGCAGCTTAAGGACACGCGTTCCGACTTTCCCTGCCCGGCAACCTGCGAGAGTCTCCCATTCATAAGCGCCTCGGTGCGCCCCGGCGACCCGGCAAAGGGCGCGGAGCCCCGAGGCCACATGACACGACCAGGGGCAAAGGAGGGCAACGCTTCCCAGCAGGTGACCACTGCGGGAAGGAGGCCGCGCACCCCAACAGAGTCTCCGCCGAACCCGGGGCAGCACGCTGGCGACAGGCGCCCGCGGGACCCCAGGCACGTGTGCCGCGCACGGGCCGCCTCCCTGGCTGCCCGGGAAGGTCGCGCCGCCCGGGCGCGGAGGCCCGCTCGCTCCCCGCCCCCGGCCGGCTCCCTGCCGCCCACGCGCGGCAGGCCGGGGCTGCGCTCACCGCCGCGCCACCGGGCCGCGTCCTGCTTGGGCTGCCGCCGCCTGCAGTGGCCTCGGTTTCGCGGCGGGGGCGGCCGCTCCACCCCCACGTGGGCCGCGGGCCGACCCCCGCCCCGCCCTCTCCCGAAGCGGGCGGCCCCGCGGGGCTCGGAGCGCGGCGGCCGCCGGGGAGGGCCGAGCCCGCCCGGGAAGCGGAAGTGGGCGCGGCGCGGCGGCGCGCGCGGTCCGCACGGGCGCCGGGGGGGAGGGCGGTGGTGGTCCCCGCCTGTCCCCGCCTGTCCCCGGGGTCCTCGGGAGCCTCCGCTGTGCGAGACCGAGGGTCTGTGCGAGACCGAGGGTCGGTGCCGGCGCCGGCGGTGCACGGGTTGGAGAACCGACCGGAGGCTTTAGGCCGGTTCGCCTTTCCGGCACTCGGGGCTCAAGGGCTTCGTTGTAAGTTACGATGGAGCGCGCAGGTACTAGGAGGGAAGTGATGAAAAATACATTCGCTGTGGCCGGTAAAAAAACACAATAAAATAACCCAAACATTTCTCATTCTGCCTTGCCCAAGGAAATCCATTCCCACTAATGAAGACTAACTCTAGGTCAGCCTCTGGTCTTGCTGTTTCAATGGCTCTCTGGCAGTTTATTAAAAGGCACTACTGAAGGAATCTGTTGTCTACCCCGAGTAAGCAATTCTCTCCAGGGCCCTGCGACACAGCTAACACCTACCCAATGTCGCTGTAACACTCAGTCACCGCCTTCGGCCTGCTTTGGTTCAGGCTTCGCTCCTCCATAGGGTTTTCTTCCTTAAAAGACAGCATCGTTTTCTGCGACATCTGTCTGCCCTGTTTATGTGTGGCGTTGGACTAGTGCCTATGTAGGACAGTGCTTCTGGGCGCGGCCTCCTCCTTAAATATTTGACCTGCTGCCCCGCTGAAGAGACCCCTGTGATAAGTGGGGGCTCCCATCTAAACTGCACGAGACTGTCTTCACAAGATCAGCACTTGAGAAGTCGAGCTTGCGGAACAAAGTTTAATTACAGAAACAAGCCCGGGAGTTGCGAGGACTTGCCCAAAGTTACAAGTAACAGACCTCGTGGGAGGCAGGTCCAGAAGCATAAGCTTCCCTTGCAGCGTCCTGGGCGACTGAGGGACTTGCAGCGTGGCCTGGCCTGGTGGCTTTTGCAGACTAGAAACATGAGGCCCAAAGGAAAGCTTATTAAGGACAGGCCCAGATCGGTTACACACTAGAAGGAACTCTGTGCTTGGAGCCAAGAAGCTTTCATAAAGATCTGTGTGACCTTTAGTGAGGCATTTAACCTTCGAAAACCCTAGCCGTCATTGACTGCATCTGCTTGGCACCTCCTGCTCAGGCGCAATTCACCAGGCGCTGCCTCTAAGGGCAGGTGGCTGTTGGCACCCTCGCTGAGCCAGGGTCCCCTCACCCCCTACACTTTGCTCACCTCCCTTTAGTCCATCCTCTTCTACCCTCACAGGGGCTGTTCCAAACTATCATTGCTTCCCTTAGGCCTTCTACATTTCTTCTCTTCCTCACCTTTCCTTAACGACCTGTAGCTTCAATTTATTCTATGAAGTAAGAAGCAAGCCAGAAACTTTCCTGCAAAATGTTAACCCCTATTCTACAGAGAGTGCCTTCTTCTTCTTCTTCTTCTTCTTCTTTTTTTTTTTAGAAGGGAAGGGAGGGAGAAAGAGAGAACATGGATGTGAGAAACATCCATTGGTTGCTTCTCATACACTCCTCGATGGGGGACCAAACCCGCAATCCAGGCATGTGCCCCGACTGGGGGTCTAAACCACGGACCTTTTGCTTTGTGGAACAACATCCAGTCAGCGGAGCCACACGGGCCGGCGCCGCTGCTTGCTATTGTCCTTGTCTGATGAGTGATGCTGGTGAAGAAACAGGCTTAGAGGGGTCCGGCCACCTGCCCGGTGTTGTGCAGGTACTAAGGGAAGAGCTGACTCCTCAAAGTTCTTTCCACTTCCAGGTCTTGCTCAATTCTAGTTATTTAGCAAAATTCATGTTCTTAACCACTGCATTTTACAGTAATACCTTCCAGAAGCCTTCCTCTTAAAAAGCAAGATGGTTGCAGGAACTAGAATTTCTTACTCCTGGAAGACACCTTCCTCCATAATATTTTATAAAATCACCTCAGCGGCATGAAATCCCTCACGGCAGTGGCTCTCTCTTTTAGGAATAGGGAAACACACGTACAGACGTCCAAAAGCTTACCACCTCACAAACACTCAGAGAACTGGTTGGTTGGCATTGAGTTGTGAAACTGCCCGTGTAAACTGGCCTCAGGGCCATTCCCCAGGATCTGACGTCCTCTTGGGGATGGGCTTTCAGATCCCTCGCTGCTTTCCATGTGCAAGTCAATAGTGTAGGTCAAACGCTATTTCAGACCCGGGTTTAACACAGCAAACAAGTCAACGTCCGCACATCTTTGCTCCCGGTGGCTGTTTGCTGCGCTTGAGATTGCACAACCCAGGGACACGGGTGCAGTGGGCTCCGTGATGGAGGGGCAGGTGTGACGTAGGTCAGAAGCAAGGGGGCAGAGTGGCCACAGGAAAGAGAGCACCTTCGCTATTTCACCAGAATTTCACAATGCACGGGTTAATGATACCAAACGGAGAAACAATCTCACAGCTGGGAGGATTGGCCCCTGATCCCAGGTGGGTGTGTTTTAATGAAATATTGATTGGAGTAGCAAATAATTAAAAAACATACCCAGATCCCAGATACTCTGATTCAAGGATACTTTTATTTACTGAAAAAGAAGGAGAAATGCTTCGATACACAACCTCAAGTCCCGTCGAATGTTTGTGGCCGCTGATGTAACTTCCCTTCAAAACGCCCTCAAATCCTTCTCTGGAATCGGGTGGAGTTTGTATTGTATTAGAAATAAACACGGATTTGAATTTCTGTCTGTGTGAAAGAAAGGGGTAATTTGTATCCCATGAAAGAGTGAGTAGGAGAGGATTTTAAAGGGGGGCAATTTCTGTTTGTTTTCCAGTTTCACTGAGAAATCATTGACAGACCTCACTGTATAAACTACGAGGCACAGAGCGTGGAGGTTTGATTTACGTAGGTTGGGAAATGATTACCACAGGAGGTTCTGCTAACAGCCATCGCTTCACATAGAGTAAAAAGGAAAAAGGAAAACACCTACTCTCCTTGTGAGAGATTTCTTCAGACGTACCCTTCACAACTTTCTTATACGTTGTACACCATTGTTAACGACGGTCATCACGTTGTACCTTTACATCCCTAGTATTTACCTCACAACTGAGGTTTGTACCTTTTGACCACCTTTTTGGGGGGCCCAGGAATGGGGTGGGCAGGGCTCAGCATCTGCGGCAGGAATGGCCGTGTGGCGGAGAGAGAGCCTGGCCTCATTCCTGGTCCCCCGACACCGAGCTCTCCAGATCTGAAAGTGCCTGGAAGAGAACACTGCTGAGGTGGGGAGGTAGGGAGGTGTGCGCACACGTGTACAATTAGGCCATATCAGCAATTTTAACTATGTCTGGGCTTGAGAATTATATGTGGAGACTTTTTTTTACCCTATTATTATTACTTTAATGTCGTCATGGCTGCCTGGTAATATTCCTAAAGGTCCAGTTTTAGCAGGTTTGGGGAGGGATCTGGGTATTTGTATTTGTATGAAGTTTTGTAAAAAATTATCATCGGTATCTCGCTCTGTGTTCCTAGACACTCAGCCATTCACAAACATTTAAAAATACTATTGGAAAATTGATTATTTCTGAGCAAGCACAGAGAGATATAATCACACCATAACATACATAAATAAAGGAATGCACCCATTCTTTTGAAGGCCCAGGATATTTGAGGCAACAGGGCCTAGAGATTAGCCCAGGCTCTGGGCCAGGTGCCTGAGGGGAAAATCCCCGCATCTCTTCTTCCTGCTGGTGATAGAATAAGTCTCCCGGAGTGAGAATGAGGGGAAAGGTATGGTTCTACCAGCTGATGCTCTAAGTGCCACGCCGGCTGCCCCCCGCCCCGGCCCCCTTCGGTGTCTCTGCTTCAGAGCCTGCTATTTTTATGCTCCCACCTCTAAGTGCCACTTGCTGACCCTCTTCTTACAGTGGGATTCTTGCTCTCTCACTGAGCGTGAAATACGAAAACCTGGCATTCAGGCAGTCCCCAAGTGGAGGTCCATCAGCAAGCATTTCTGTTCCAAGCTTTGTACTACGCACTGAGAATCTGGAGGTAAAAAGCCAAGGTAGATTTCGCAAGTAGCTTCCGCGGCAGGGAGGGGAGACGGTCCACTGAGAGTCACAGAGGCACGTTCAGGGCGCTGCAGAGCTACGGGGAAAGGGCACATGACCCAGCCCGGAAAACCAATAAGGGCATCTGGAGGAGGTGACGGCTGCGTCTTCAAGGGGGAGGAGTTTCGAAGCGGGGAACCCGCTGTACCATTGCAAGGAGGGAAAGCAGTGTGGCCAAGTGAAGCACTGCAATGATTCGGTGCAGGGCAGGAGGTGAGAAAAAGGAGGCTAGCAAAGCAGCAAGGCTGACCTGCCAGGGCCCCACAGGCCTTCCTGAGAGCGTTGACTTAATTCGGAGGGTGGTAGACGGACCCATTGAATGAAGTGGACATTCTTTGAGATGGGACAACATTCATTCCTTCACAATGCAGGGAAGGGAAAACAAACACTTGTGCAATAGCACCACCTAATGGAAAAGAAAAGAAAAACCTTTACTTACCAACCTGCTAATTGTTAAAAGCAAAGCAGTACTTGAAGATCTCAATACTTTAAATGTCCAAGCACAGAAAGAATCCGTAAAGCACAATAAACAAAATAACCAAGGTAACAAGGGAGTTCAGAAAGAGAGTAAAAAAATCTCCAGAAAATAAGCTTAAAGACATGGAAAATTGTGATTTAAATGACAGAACATTCAACTTTGCAGTTACAAAAAACCCCCACACAAACAAAAACAAACAAAAAAACCTCAATGAGATACAAGAAAGCTCAGAAAAGCAGTTTAATGAGCTCAGAAATAAAATCAACAAGCTAAAGGAGGACTTTACCAATGAGATTTAAACTATAAGAAACAAAAATTCTGGAGCTGAAAAACTCAATAAATTAAATAAAGAATGACCTAGCAAGCTTAGGAAATAAAAAGACCAGATGAAGGAAAGAATTGGTGATATTGATGATAGAAATCTAGGAATGACTCAGTGGAAGAAGAGAGAACTGAGAGTAAACAATGCATGAAAGAACTCTATGAGAATTATCTATTAGAAAGAGCAATATAAAGATAATGGCCATACCAGGAAAAAAAGAGGAAGGAAGAGAGAGCTCATTCAAACAAATAAGTGATGAGAACTTCTGAAACCTATTGAAAGAATTAGACAGTCTAATCGAAAAAACTAATAGGACACCTCATTATCCTAATCCAAAAAGGACTTCTCCAAGGCACATTATATAAATGCTGGCACACATTAACAACAAAGGAATTAGCAAGGCAGCCTGGGGGAAAAAAGATGGTAACCTACGAAAGAAACCCCATTGGATTATCATCAGATTTGTCAGCAGAAACTCTACAACTAGGAGAAAGTGTAATCAAAACATTTTAAATATAAAAAGAGAAAAAGCTTCAGGCAAGAATAATATATCCAGCAAAGTTATCCTTTAGATATGAAGGAGAAATAAACGCTTTTCCAGACAAACAGAGGCTGAAGGAATTTGCCACCACAAGACCTACCTTACAAGAAATGCTAAAAGGTGCTCTTCTGCCTGGAACAAAAAGACAAAAGGACACAAAGCTGTGAGTAAAATGAGTAACAGACAGGCAGAAGCAGGAAATTGTAACTCTTGTTCAGAATAGGATAGTCAACACATCAATATAACATAAAGGTTAAAGGAGATAAATACCCCTTTTTTTAAAAAAAGACAATAGCTACTGCAATTTGGAAATGAATGCACAGAATGAAAGGGACAATTTGTGACCCCCCAAAACATAAAAGGTGATAAAGGACCAAACTTGCACAGGTGAATGGAGGTAAGACAGAATCAGAAGAAAAAGGACTATTGTAGGTATGAAGCTTTTTTTTGCACAAACCTAATGGTAATCTTAAAACAAAAATCTAGAACTGAGACACATAACATAAAAAAGAGGAAACAGAGGAGTAAGTCATAGAATACCACAAAAACTAAAATAGCAGGCAAACATAAGGGGAAAGAAACAATGGAGACACAGAGCAGCCAGAAAACAAAAGATAAAATGATAGACATCCTCATATATCAATAATCATGCCAAATGTAAATGGACTAAACTCCCTAATTAAAAGGCACAGAGTAATGGGATGGTTTAAAAATCAAGACCCAACTATATCTCGTTATATAAGGAGATGCATCTCAACTACAAAGACAAACATAGCCTCAAAGTAAGGGGATAGAAGATGAGATTCCAAGCAAATGGTGTCCAGAGAAGAGTGGGCGTAGCTATATTTATGTCAGACAAAGTAGATTTCAAGATAAATAAGAGACAAAGATTCACATTTTGTAATTATAAAGGAGATAATTCATCAAGAAGATGTAACACTTTATATATACATATACTTACATACATACATACATGTACATTCAACCTGGGAGTGTGTGTGTGTTTGTGTGTGTGTGTGTGTGTGTGCACGCCTATACACACCCCCTAAAGGGAGAAACTGACAAAAGCACAATTATAGTAGGGGACCTAAATACCTCATTGTCAGCAATGCATAGGTTACCCAAACAGTCGACATTTTTTAAAAAACCCATTTGAAGAATACATAAGGAATCAGAAAAATGACGAAGTAACTATTAAAATGTGATTCTGATGAGCTGTTTATTATACCAACGGTGGATTTTCCACTGGCTATCAAATGATATCAAACTAAGTATTCCTTGCTAATAATATTCCATGTTTTTATTTGGGTGATGGTTTAAACGGCCCAGTTAGCTGTGATAATTCATTCAGCACACTTTAATCAACATGTTCACGATTCATGCACTTTTTTGTATGTAAATTGTACTTTAATGTAAAAGTAAAAAATGCAAGCACCCCGGAGTGTACTGTGCTTAGCATAGTTCTGTGAGGACTAGTGGATGTCAGCATGATCTCGGTGTAAGCCGTGTTTTCAGCACGACAAAACATTTACTACCAATTTCGATTCTTTTTGAAATTGCAGGGGAAAACGTAGATATCAACCTTCACCCGCTAGTGCGGCAATCTAAGCCAGCGGTCGCCATGGAACGCGGCATTTCTGGCAGGGTTCCCGCTCGCGCACTCCTGATTGGAGACCCTGAACCCATCGCTTCTGCGCCACGGCTCACACTGCCTCCCTGGGGGCAGCAGAAAGCCTTTCATCCATCCTTTTATCTCGAAAGCCAGTTCTGAAAAATAAAACCTCTAGCTCATGTTCTGACTGTACCCCAAGAACAGAGACTGAAAAGAAATACTAATTGATCGGGAAGCCGGTCCCATTGGTATTTTTTTTATCCTCCTTGGTGGCCCTGGATCACTTGGAGAGCATGATGGGCGCTGTGGAGCTTCTCCGCTACACACTGCACAGGAGGCCCAGTTTCCTCTGGGCGGCCCCGTCGGCAGGGTCTGCCCAGTCGATCACTCCCTCTCTCTGCCAACTGTCGCGTCCGGGTCTCCGCTAAGCCAGTGCACCCTCGCAGCACGTGGTCCACGGTCCACTCCCCCTCTGTCTGGGACTGGAGTCGCCGGGAGGGCGGGGCGCGGCCGAGGCCGGAACCCAGTTCCCGGGCCCTGTTGCCCGCCGGAAGACGGAGGGGGAGGAACGCGTCCGCCGAGGCACGGAAGAGAGGCGGGGGACGTGTTTGAGGGGTGACACGCTAGTCCCGTTCGCCCTGTTTCTAGGCAATGTTTCCCAGAGTGTCCGCGGTCCTGCCGCTTCGCCCCCTCCCCCGCCTCCCTTTGTGCCCCGGAGGCCCAGAGGCGTCGGCGGCTGCGACTGCGCTCCTCAGTGCCCCGCACGGACCGGTCAGGTACCGCCTTGCGCCGCTGTCGGCCCCGCAGGTCATCCGGTCACCCCCGGGTCCCCTCCCGCTCCTTCAGTGACCACTGTCCGGCTTTCTGAGGCCGGTGCTCCAGCCTGCGGGGTCTTAGAAGCCATTGCTTCCAATCCGAGGAAAGGGAAGTCCCAGAAAGACACAAGGACTTGCCCAAGGTCGTAGGGCCGCGGTGACCTTCCTGCTCTGCTGCCCCGGGCTCTGCCGGCGGCGCGGCGCGCCTCGTCCCCGCCGCCACTTGGCCCCTCGTTTCATCCGGGCTCCGGAGGCGAGGCTTTGTTTTTTCTCTTTGGCTTCCCGAGATTGTGATGCCCGCATTCCCGCCTCCGTTTATTCTTTAGTTTGTTGTCGCATGTGCTCGGGTAGAGTGGCAGCCTCAGTCAGTCCTGCTTCGCGGAGCTCACTGTCAGCCCGGGGAGGCGGCTCGCGTGGAGTAATAAATAGCTGAGATAGTGCAGGGGGCACGGAACGCGCGGTTAGGTTAACAGCGAGGTGCTGGGTGAGCCCGTCGGGGCACCGAACCGCTGCGGGAGACGTTCAGAGTGTCCTTTCGGGAGAGGAATCTCAAAGAATCCGAAGGCGGACCAAGGCTTGGAGTTAACAAAGCAAGAAAAGGAGTTGTGGTGTACTCGCTGTTTAGTAGTTATTCTCTGATTCTTACGATTGTGAAACCTTGATTGTTCTGCATGCATTTCCACGCGGTGCGATTTGGGGCCACCGTGGTAAAGAAGCAGGACCCCGCGGCAGGTTGGTAGCAATGGGCGTGAGAAGTCGCTGGAGGGAGGAGCAGAGCTGCGCAGGGAGAACGGAAGGGAGGCGACCTCAGGAGACGAGGGTGGGGTAGTCAAAGCGACGGTTTCAGCGGTCGCCTTGAAGGATTAGGGTACCTCCTGTTAGCAGAAGCAGGAGGAGCGGCTTTGAGAAGGCTTTTAAGATGTGTAGTAGTTTTTAGAATGCAAACATATCTGTTTATGGGAAGAGGCTCCTTGACTACAGAAGACGGGAAAATGGGAAGTCTGTGTGAGAGGGGAGCTCTTCAGTGTGGCCTTGGATGTGTTGCATTCGAAGTGTTGATGCGACGCCCAGGTGGGAGGTTGGAGCTGGGATTTTCTCATTTTAGTGCGAGGGAGTTACTTCCTAGCCACTATTTTCCTGCGTAAATACACTGTCCATGGTGCTATAGCTTGGTCTTGGGAGGAAACATAGAAATATGGGTTATACATGAACCTCGCTCCCTCGATCGCCACCTTTCCGTGATACCTTTAACTTAACTTTCACATGGGAGGAAATAATTAGAGCACTTTCCTAAGTTGAGTAATACCATATGTTGTATATTATAACGTGGGTCCTTTGTACTGACTATGAGGATAGTACTTATGCAATGGGTTTTTCATTCTAGTTTTTGAGAGTCTGATGACTTTGCCTCTGACATTTTTATAAGCAGCCCAAATAGTCTGTTTCAGCATTTTTGGAAATTTGCCATTTTCTTTTTCATGAAAGGCCCCTAACCTGGCACTGCCATTTGCGAGCTTTGAGAACTTGATAGAGTATTTATTTAACCCGTGGTCTGAGGCAGGGTCTTGAGATCATTTCATCAGAATCACCTGGGGTCTGGGTTAAGTGCAGATCTTTGGACCCCATTTCAAACCTTCCAACTAATAATCTCTGGAATCTAAGTTTTGTTTGTTTATTTTTTTAATTGTATTTATTTTTTAGAGAGAGGGGAAGGGACGGAGAAGGAGAGAGAGAGAAACATTGATGTGCAAGAGAAACATTGATCAGGTTCCTCCTGCACTCCTGCAACTGGGGACCTGGCCGGCAACCCAGGCATGTGCCCTGACTGGGAATCGAACTGGTGACTTTTCAGTCCTCAGGACAATGCCCAGCCTACTAAGCCACACGAGCCAGGGCCATACCTCAATTGGAAAAAAAAAAAAAAAGAAATAAGAGAAAAGGGACGGGCTTGATTTAACAAATTTTAAAAACACAGAGAAACAGTTTTGTGAGTCTTTGCCGTATTATTTTGCATTGTATTTTTTCATTTTCTTCTCTTTTTTACTTTTATACATCTTTCCAGGACAAAAAATAACATCCAAAGATATTTTGGCACTCACAACGTGATCTATAGCAAGAAAGATGGGCAGTCCATTCCAACCCAGGAGATTTCCAAGGAGACAGAGAGCCAAGACAATAGCAAGGAGAATACGAAAAAAGACTTGTTAAACATCATTAAGGGCATGAAAGTTGAGTTAAGTGCTGTAAATGTACAGACCACAAAGCCCCCCGGCAGAAGACTACCTAAACGTCTGGAGGCTACAGTCGGCAGACCTCAGAAAGCTGCGGAAGATGACCCAAAGAAGAGGTAAATTAAGTTACAATTTGAATGTTCTTCTTTGAAGGTAATTTTTGAAAGTCCAGTTTTTTTCTTTAGAAAACAAAAATTTTAAAAAGTCTTTAGTTTTATTTCAAATTCAAATTAGAGCTCTTACTCTTCCCTCCATGCACCTTCTATACTTTCGTCTCAGCCTGATAAGTACATTGTCATCCTGTGCGTCAGCATTTGTCTGCCTTGTGAACCCTGCGGCAGCTCTCGGCTCTGAAAAGCTTTCCCTGACCCGCCTGTCCCGGATCCCATTTCTCCTGTCTGAGTCTCTATCCAGTGTCATCTGAATACTAATTAGTCTGTTAAAACCTTTATCTCTGTTTTTTTTCCTATTGTCATTAACATTTTTGAAAAAAAAAAAACACCCCAAACCTTCTCAATCTTCCACTTGTTTGATTTATCCTTCCTGCTGGACGGATGCCTCTTTAGAGCAGGAAGGATAAATCATTTTTCTCTTCCTCATTCTTCTCTTCCTGTGTGCCTCATTTTTCTCTTCCAGGACTTAGCACAGCATCCAAAGGAATAAGCGATAGATAACGCTCTTTGATTTGCTGTTATCAGTGTCTCAGGGAATCAAATGGAATCCGAGGTTTCCGAGGTTGCATTTATGTAAAATACTCATTTCTCTGTAAAATAGAGGCGTGAAAACTGTTCTAGAAAAACTACAAACTAAATATCTGCAAACAGATCATCTTGAGTGCATTTAGAAGTTGAATAGGTGAAACCTAAGCTCAAGCCTTTTGTAAAATGACGCTTTTTAAAGTAAAACAGTTGTTATTGTAATATGATTATATACAGTTTATGCGGTTTACATCACGTAACGACCACTGTTCAGGAATCCGTTTTGTCATTGTGGAGTTTGCCCGTTGTTCTACTCTTTTAGTGAATTTTCTGAAGGCTGGACAAACTCGTGGACCCCAGAGACGTTCGGCAGCGCAGGTGTGGGGTGGTGGGCGGTGATCAGTGGTAATTCTGATCTAGACTTGAATCACAGCTCTGCACATCCCGGCAGAATTTTTTCATTTAAAAATATACAGTAAAATTTTAAGTTAGAGAACATGGGATATACTGAATTAATGGAGGCTAAGTATCGGTTTGTAAACAGAGATTCTAATAATTACTTGAGAAATACTGTTACTGTTCTATAATTAAATAAGAAGAAGATATCTGTATACCTATAGATTTCACACATTCTCTTACATATTTATCAGTATTATTAACTACCATTTAATTGTCTCTTTAAGTTATTAATTAACAATTCATTTACATCCCGATTTGCAGGTAGCTTCATGTTTCAAAAGGGCTTGTTATGAAATTTCCATTAAGAAATTCCACCTACCATGGAATTTTAGCATGTTTACAAATGCTTTATGTGGCTTTCTTTGACCAGTAATTTTCAGTGCTCTGAGCTTATGTGGTGTCCTCAAAATATTGTAATTACTTGTGCTTGTCAAGAGTATTATATTTCACTCATTATAAGTGCAGTCAGTGATATTTTAATGTTTGTGGTGTAGCTTCAATGGCAATATTTTATGGTTGTGATAAATAGTGTCTTACATGAATGACCTCATTGATTTAAGTGATAAGGTATATGGCTTTAAGATTCCCATTTGTTATTTTAATTTGTTATTGCTGTCAGAACTTTTATGGAATCTCATTTTCTACATTGTGTCACATTGTATCAAAAGTACTCTGGAAAGTATAATTGGGTAGTAGAGAATAAGCTTATTCAAACATCATAGGTTCCTCCTCCTCCTCCTCTTAGAAACAAAATAAAAATATATACATTGTAGAATAGCGCACACACACATACTCATCCAGACTGAGTTGTTTATTAGCCCCCAGACCTGTTTATGACCCATTGTGCTTTTTATTATAGTCATATAATTCAGTTAACTGGTGTAGACATGGTTAAAATGAGTTATGCTATGCGAAGATTCAGTTAAGGTAATTTTTGAAATTGCTTTCCAATTAGGTATGAATGAGACGGGCATAATAGTTTAGGCAAATTCTACACGCAGGTTGCTTTGTAAGCTTTTTTTAAGTTCTTGCTCCATATTTCTACCTAAAGAAACCAAAACTGGAAGTATTGGGGAAAGTACTATGTGTGCGGTGTGTACTTAAGTGCTACATCTTGGAACCGCCATCAGTGGTCCTAGATTCAAAGAGGAAGCTTGGTCTTACATAAGAGACTGGTGGATGAGGAGCATTTGTTTTTAAAAATCGATCTTTTGATGATTCGTGCCCGCATGCGTGGCGGGTGGTTCCAGACACACACAGCTGGGTTAATCCCCATCTTTGGGTAGGGTGCGCTGTGGTCATTGCTTCAGACGTGGTCCGCTTTTTGTTTATTTGTATCCTTTAGTGAACCACCATTGGTATAGCTACTATGGCTGCACACCAGTTGCCCAAGAATTTAGTGGCGTAAAAAAACATTGTTTACGCTATGGATTCCATAGGGCAGCAATTTGAACAAAGCCAGGTGGAGCTTTCTTCATTGTGTCCGGGGCTTCAGTTGGAAGGTTTGGCAGGTCCAGAGCCTGGAACCACCTGGAAATTAGCTCTCTCGTGGGTCTGGGAGTTGGTGAGGCCTTTTGGCTGAGACCTTGGCTGGCACTGGTAGCAGAAACACCCACGTGTGGCCTCTCTGCGCCCGGGCTTTCTCCCGGCCTGGTGCCTGGCTTTGCAGAGCGAATGTCCGAGAGAAAGGGAGGGAGGAGGAATATGTACTGGCTTTATGACCTAGCCTGGGAATCCGACTGACCACCATTGTTACCATAGGTATTTAGCTAATTATTGATGAGAAAAGGGAAACAAAGGGAGTTAGACATTGAGCTTATTAATAAAAGGGAGAACGTGAGCCTGTTTGCTTCACCAGGAAGCCATAGCTTCATACTCCTGGGAATCAGCGCGCCTCCGAGGGAGTTAATCTTCCTCCCTCCGAGTGTCCAGGGCAGGACTGTTGCAGGGCGCAGGGGGTGGGGCTGGGCCACAGAGGCCTGCCAGTCTAGGGGGTGGGGACCCGTCCAAAGCCCACAGAGGCCTGGGAAGTTGGTCATTTCGAAAAAGCACCTGGTCTGTCCCTAGCCCAAGATAATGTAATCCCAGGGGAACAAAGCTCTCCCTCTCCGTGTGTGTGTGTGTGTGTGTGTGTGTGTGTGTGTGTGTGTGTGTGTTTCTCTCCCCGTTTCCGTGTCTTTCTCTCCCTCCCTCTCTCTCCTGGATAACCTGCACCTGCCCCATGCACTCGCGCGCCCTCTAGTCCCGCGTGGCCATGGCCGCGGGCCTCCGCGCGCAGGCTCCGGGAACGGCCTGGTCCCGCAGCACCGCGGGGCTGCCCGCCGGGCGCGCGGCTGGACTGTAGTGTGGCGCAGGCACCCTGGGCAGTGGCCTTCATCCGGCCCTGCTGAGGACAAGGCTGGACCTTTTCCACGGCGGGAGGGGTGGAGATGGGGCACTGGGGAGTCAGGAGGGGAACCCCCTTAATTTTACGTCAGCGGTAAAGTTTACCGTGGAGCCCCGTCCTGTGCGCAGCTCCGGAAGCTGCTCTCCTCGGGACACTGCAGGAGCCTTCTTTCCCCGATCTCACCTCCAGCCTCTTTTCCCGTGCTGCGTGGATTTGTGAGGAGCGCTCGTTTTTTGTCACAGCAACCGCCAGAAAATCGCCTTCGCGAGGCTACGCTGCCCTGGCAGGGAATGCGGGCGTGCACTGCGCAGGTTAGTGTGCACGCGTCAGGGACTGCACGGGGTTTTCCTGTCGGGCTGGGGGTGCCACAGGGCGCAGTTTGGGAAGCAGGGTCCTCGGCGACACAGTTTCTGAGCAGCGGTGGGACCACGCCCCTGTTTCTCCGAGGTCCTGTTGCCTAATTGAAAGGCTTGTCCGAGGCACCACTGAAAATCCAAGATCTCAGCAGAGGGTTGGCAGCGGCGCCCGGCTTTACGCCTCGCTTTCCTAACCCTGTCCTGAGTTTGGTCTCTGATCAGAAGCCCTTTCTAAATGTCAGCATCGCTCTCTCTGGTGGGGGTCGGGGGCTAGGAGTGAGAAACATTTCCTGTGCAGGTAGCTCAGAGGCGACGTGCCTGTCAGGCACAGGTGATAGAACTTGTCAGCGTAAGCAATGTCCAAGCCGGTAAGAGTTCTGTGAGTCTGTTTGATCCAAACTGGTGACAGCTGCCAGGAACCAAATCTCAACGGATTGGGAAGATGCTCCAGAAAATGGCAGTTTTACCACTTTTATCCGTCATAATCAAAGGGGAAGACATAAGGGGGTTACATGGAATTCACTGGTGATAGATTAGGGAGGCGGGAGAAACCGAAGTGGAGAACTCTCTGGTATTGGATAAAATAAAACGAATAGGTACGTGCTTCTTTTACGTTTGCGGGTATAGGATAGTTAACAATAGTTAACGTGATTATGACGGGGCAGGGGGTGTGGTTTTCGCTGTGCTTGTGCTATGAGGAATATGGGAAAAAAGTAAACTACTTTGATATTCCAAAGGTACGTTGTCAGGTAGCTTATCTTAGGTGGAAAAAGACAGCAGACACTGCTCAGTTAAGGTGAAGACTGGCCTTTGTTAGGGAACGGTACTCCTCAAGGATGTGACCGCCCGCCGCGAGCTGCTTTCCGTTGGGAAGGTTTCATTTCAGACCATCCTGTGTGGTGCCTTTGGTCTCTGAGTGTGTGAGGCCCCCCCAGGCCTCCCCTGAGCTCGTCAGGTTTAGTGTGCGGCCCCTTTTTCGTCCATAGACTTCTCAGTTCTTGAGTTTGGAGTGTGCAGTAATCCCGATGCCACATATCTCTTTTCTTTAGACAAATACTGCCAGAACTAGAATTGTTCGGTCAAAGGATTCATATTTTTTTTAGGTTTATGATACCAAATTGCCTGCCAAGAGTTACACCAATGTGTGTGCCCACTAAACGGTATCTTTCACTTCATCAGGGTCCCTTTTCTGAAATTGTTTATGCCACACAGTTCATTTTATAGAGGTTCAGAAGCACCGAAGGGTATTAAGTGAAAAAGTATGTACTCGTGGAAGAGTCTGCATTATAGAATGGAATAGATTGTTAAGAGATATTTTTTAAAGTTCTCATCACTTGTTAAAATCTATGTAGAAATATCCCTGTATTTTGATGACAGAGGCTCTCACACAATTTTTGCCAATTACACATTTCAAATTATAAACTCAAGAGTTAGGATTATATAACGAACACCACCGTCATAAAACGTATTGTTCTGGAAAATGAATATTCATCTATAGTCCTTATATACTCTGATCAAACATATGCAGGGTCCGGCAGAAATAAGGCCTGCTTGAGCGTGGCTGATAGGCTAATAATACGGGTGTAATAATTTATAGTTTTAATGTGAACATTTCACCTAGAATGTTACGTGGTGTGCTTGAGTGTGATATTGTTATGTTACAGAATGACATGCTTATGATTTTGTAATAAAAAAAGGGACAATATTTGTGCTGGATCCTGTATATTAAATGTGAAAATAAACTTCGCAATAGTTTATGAAAGAAACACAGTGATTTGAGATAAGATTTAAGTCTTATTATCACAGGTAACAGTTAAAGTAGCACATTTCTTTAAATCTAAGTGTTATATATCCTCTTTTAATTTTATTTTTCTTCTATTCCAATCGATTTTAGATCTCCCATAACTCAGTAAAGTCCTTCAAATTCAAATCTTGACCCAGCAACTTCAGGGATTTGGGAACTTTGACTTGCATATTAGACAACAGATCAAACTATATAAAAAGCCAGGTCTAGCAAAACATTCATTTGGATCCCCTTCATTGAGATTCTCAGTGAGTTAAAAAATGCAAATAATTTATTTTTATGTCTGGCATGTTTTGCTACTAACTTACCCTAATTAACCGAACAGCAGTGCTTTTTTGTTAGGGAAAATTTAAAGCAAGCAAAGTCCGATAGTGAACCTCTGTGCCCGCCACCCAGCGGCAGTGGTCGGCAGTGGTTGGCAGTGGTCGGCAGTGGTCGGCAGTGGTCGGCAGTGGTCGGCAGTGCACCCCAAGCTCCTCTGTCCTCGGTGCCTCCCCCACCCTCCGTCTCCTGCTTGGTGATCAGCTGGAGTGTTTAAAGCTTAGTCATAGGATTTTAACGAGTGCACCTTCCCACGTCACCCGCACAGAGTTCAAGGTGCAGAGCATTTTCCGTTGTCATCTGCCCCGACTTCTATCCTGTAGTGACCGCTGTTCTGATTTTTTTTACCTTAGATTAATTTTGCCTGTTCTAGAAGTTGATATAAATGGAATCATACAGTACATACTCTTTTTTGTATCCAATGTCCTTTGTACAGTTTCATTCATTTTGTGGTGCGAGCTAAGTACATTCCATTGTATAGATATACACATATCATAATTTGTTTTATCCTGATGGTAGATATTTGGTTGTTTCTAGCTTTAGGTTATTGTGAATAAAGCTTCTATGAACAGGTTTAGCCACTTTTATATTTGCTTCTTTTTTATATATGTGTGTGTGTGTGTGTGTATACATATATAAATAAATAAAATGGCATCTAGTTAAAAACCCACTAATTTATAATTTTTAGGGCGGATCCCTATTCGTCCACCTTAATGTATTTTTCTGAATTAATATTGTGCTTCAAAAAGTATCCCTTAACTTTAACCTTTGACATTTAAGTTTATATGAAACTGATACCTAATATTTAAGAGTTCTTGATTTTGTCAGAAATTGGAAGATACTTCTTTGAACAAAAAACTTTTCTCCAAAAATATCATTTTACTTTCCACTCAGCTAGTGGCATGATAAGTGGTGCCTCTTTTTTCTCATCTGTTTTTCATTTCCTTCTTCAGGAGTGAGTCACTGAGCCCTGAGTTGGTGGCTGCTGCCTCTGCCGTTGCAGAGTCCTTCCCTTCTGACAAGCAGGCGACCAAGTCTGAGCTGCTGCGGCAGCTCCGGCAGCACGAGGCGCTCTCGCGGGCCCAGGGAGACGGAGAGAGACCCAGAGTCAGGTCAGTGACTCAGCGGGGCACGTTGGCAGCGGGGCACGTTGGCAGCGCTGCCGTCTCGGAACGTGGTGTTTCCAGGTAACGGATGAGTCATACGAGGCCTGTCCAGAAGGGATCCGGCCATGTGGTGTGAAAAATAGAGACATTTACTGACGAAGACACAAGATACAAGAAACATTGTACATAGGACAGTGATGCCTCAGTCCCCTTCAGAGTGCACCTTGGGACCTCACACAGTTCTCCCAATCGCCATCAGCTGCCTCATGGTATTCTTTTTTATGGCTGATTAGAATTCCATTGTGTGAATGTCCCATAGTTGCTTTATCCACTCATCTCTTGATGGGCACTTGGGCTGCTTCCGTATCTTGGTGATTATAAATAACACTGCAGTGAACGTAAGGGTGCTTATGCTCTTTCGAATTAGTGTTTTGGATTCCTTTGGCTGTATTCCTAGAAGTGGGATCACTGGGTCCAAAGGCAGATCGATTTTTAAGTTTTTGAGCTGTCCCCCTGCTGCTCTCCACAGCGGCTGCACCAGCCTGCATTCCCACCCACACCGCAAGAGAGTTCCCCTTTCTCCACATCCTCACCTGCGCTTGTTGTTCGTTCTTCCCTTTCAAAGGTGATTTTAGTTTTAGGAAAAGCCAGAAGTCACATGTGCCAGGTCTGGGCATGAGGGGGACAGAGTCACCTGGGTGATTTGTTGTTTCACCAAAAAACTCTGCATGAGATGTGATGTATGAGTGGGCATGTTGTCATGATGAAGCTGCCAGTCTCCATAGCTGCAGCCTTCTGAAGCATCCGAATAATTTTCCGCAGAGGAATGTTGAAGCTTAACACAAAACTTGATGCAGATTCGTTGCTCTCTGTCATTTTGAATGTGTTGGCCACCCAGTACACATGCTGACTTAACAGTGTCTCCTGCCCCCACTGACAGTGCAGTGAAGTCATCATTGTTCACACTTGCACATTCCAGTCCCCTCTCCTTGGCTGCCAGGTTACATCCATGTCGTGCAAACCATTCTCACTATATTTATAAAGGCTGGACTTTTTCCGGACATACCTCATACATATAACATATTCATTTATATGCAAGATATAAGATATGTCTCATAAATGGAATAGTAGCAATTTGATTGTCCTTAGAAAAGCTCATGTCTTAAATAAGATTACAGTTTTTAGAAGACCAGTTGAGTGGTTAAAGTTTTCTTTTGAGAGGTTACAGAATTTCTGGTCCCTGAAAAAGAAATGATTAACTTAGTAATGTTATTAAAAATTAATAAATAAGTAACAGAATAAGACAGTTTCTCTGAGAAGGTTAATTTTTTTCAGTGACATAATTTTCTGGCTTTATGCACAATAGGATCATCTTCATGCCTGTTCCCTTTTTCTCCCTTCTCACTAAATTTTAGCTGACACCTTTCTACTTGCCCCCTCATCTCTCAGTGCTTCACGCCACGTTACCTTGCCTGCTGCTAAAAGCAGCGAGGCTGATGTTGCTTTGTTCTGGCAAGAGTCTGATTTAGCAGTTCTCGATGAGCTAGTACAGGATTTGTCTCGGGAAGTTAGAAAAAGCACAGGAGACTGGACTGTCGTTCAGGGCAATCATTTTATTTATATTTGAACAAGTGCAAGGCAATAAATATGGCTAAATTTCAACTTTAATTTCCTTTTTTACTCTAAGTGCTACATATATAGATATTGATAGTATGTTAGTTGCTCTAGATGTTAGACAGTTTTACGTAAGTGATACTTTGTGTCTTAAATGAACACATCTGAAGAACATCTTTAAAAGACAGGTAACATAAATCTCAGTGGTCTGTGGAATTTGAAAGTTAATATGTGACATAATCTTTTATTATAAGTTTTTGTATTATTGCATAGAAGTGAAATAAAAACTATGTTATATGCATCACGTTTTCTACTATTCTATAGCTAAAATTTGTAATACACTTGACTTTTTCCTATTTCAGTTTTAGTAACATAATATCGGATATGAAAGTTGCCAGATCTTCCACAGTCAGAGTCAGTACAAGACCAGTTCATCAGATTCAGTTTGATGAAGGTTCTGACAGTTTTGCTGACCGGGAGAAGACCGTTGATCTTAGCAAAAGGTATTGAAACTGTGCTGTCCATTTGGTTTTGTTGGTTTCATTGTAGAGTTACTTTATTGCTGTGCATTTATTGCTGGTAGGTCTCTGAGCAGCATGGATGCATTTATGTCTGTCTCCTTACCCTCCGTGTACTATTTCCTAGAGAGGGAGATATGTTCTGAGTTTAGTGTTCCTATACATTTCTGTGCTATAAATTCTGGGCTCTGTCTTACCTTTACCCATGGGGAATAGAGGTCTCCTGATGTACAGTAAATAGAGCGGGCTGAATTCTGACGTGAGAGATGCATTATTTTTCATCCTGATATGTGCCTAACAATGTCTGTTCCTAGACCCTTTTTATCTCTCCATATAATCATCTTTGTTCCTACCTTAGAGAAATAACCCACCATCGAAGAAAGAAGGCTCCATTATATCTTAAAGTGGAGCTTATTTGTGGCAATTTGAATTTTGCAATTTGAATTTAGCAATTTGTAGTTCTTACAGGTGCCAAGCCTTGCCTTACATGTTTTATAATAGAAAGCTGTCTGTGTTTACATAACGTTTCTATTCTTTAAGTGGTAGTTGGGGAAGGAAGCAGATATTTAGTATGGTCTGACAAAAACGGACTCAACTCTGTAGCAGATGTGCTCACAAATGGAATGTTTTTGATTTATATTTTATGGATTTTTAAGTGTAACCTCAGCCCTTTGTTAGCTCTTCCAGGTAGTACCTTCCCTATTGGTACAGGGAGACGGGAAGAGATGGTCAGAGGTTCACAAAGGGAGTTCAGGGGGTTGCGGTGACTTCAGAAGACTGTTTGGATTATGAATTTAAAGTGATTTTATAGCTGTGGCATATGATGGAATAAAGTAGAATGTGTATTAGAGGTTTACTTAAGGTTCCTGAAGAATATTTAAGTTGAATCTTCTTTGAATCAGAGTTTGAGGTGATTCCATGTAACTACAACAGAATGGTATGTCATCATTTGATTTTTAATGGTATTAGCTATCATTAAAAATGAGAAGGCAGCAAGGCAGAAGCTAAAAAGGTAGGCAAGGGTGTATGTGCATGGAAGGGCTTTGTTAAAAAGACGACCCATGGACTTGAGAGTAAGGGGAAGCAGCGGTGAGACGCCAAGCTGTTCACCTGCTCTGACCTGGGACAGCCTGAGGCCGGCCAGGCCTGCACTGGTGCTTTCCAGGTGGCGTGGAGAGGCGTGAGTCACAGGCACTGGCCCTGCAGTCACGCCGGCCTGCCTCGGAGCTGTGGCCCTGTGCCGCTGACTCATTCTGTGACTGGGGACTTTCAGAGCCCCACCAGCCTGCTTCCCCACCTACAAGATGCTGAACGTGAAGCCTGGCTGAAGCGTCTTTCTGTAAACTATGTGAGCAGACACACAGCGAGTGTGCGTTTCCTTCCCTTCCTCTTCAGTTCATTGGGCTTTTAAATTCCATACTTCGCTGCATTCTTCCCTCTTGACTGTGAGTCCCTTCAGCCCACCTCCCTGTTCGCTGGGCTTGAAGCTGAGGGACCGCGGGGCGGGGAGAGGGGTGCAAGGCACCACGCGGCCCTGGAGCGTCCGCGCTCTGCACGCTCCCCTGGGAAGCAGCCTGCTGCGGGGATGTGTGGTGGGGGGGGGCGCCTTGTCCAGTTTTAACGTGGCAATTGCATTTGCCAGTTTAATGGACTAGAAATACGTAATTTGATCCAGAAAATAATTCAGAATTATCTTAAAAGCTAACACTCCCTTTATAAACTGGTTTTAATCTGCCAGTAAATGTACTCAAGTATGAATGTGAATTGAAGCGTAAAGCAGTTGATTAAAATATACAAGGAAAAGTTACCTATTAACTCTCTGGCATCAATTTCAGTAGTTAAAAATAGTTATGTATAGGAAGTTAATCATTATTTTAAAATTACAAAAGAATTGCTTTGTAAGTGGGAATGTTTTGCTTTATCTGTGTAATAGTTTGTAATTTGTAATTAAACATGCAGTGTTTTCTGCCTTTAAACTAAGACAAATATTGATTCTAACAACTTTTTGATTAATTAATTAATTAATTTTTCTGTGCTCCTCTTTGGGTTCATCTTGTCGGGGATTCTCTGCACTTCCTGGAGTTGTATGTTTGTTTCCTTTGCCAGGATAGGGAAGTTGGTCGTTAATGTCTTCAAATAGGTTTTCAATCGCTGGCTCGCTCTCTCCTCCTCTGGTAACCCTATGATACAAATCTTGTTATGCTTGATGTTGTCCCAGAGGTCACTTACACTATCCTGATCTTTTAAATTCTTTTTTTCTTTATTCTGTTCTGATTGGGTGTTTTCTGCTACCCTATCTTCCAATCACTGATTCAGTCCTCTGCTTTATCTCATCTGCTGTTGATTCCATCTAATGTAGTATCTATTTCAGTTTTTGTATTCTTCATTTCTGACTTTTTTTTTATGGCTTCAATCTTTTTGTTTAAGTTCTCACTGAGTTTATTGACTTTTCCCCTAAGTTCACTGAGCACCCCTATAACCAGTGTTTTAAACTCAGTATCTGGTAGTTTGCTCGCCTCCATTCTGTTTAGTTCTTTGTCTGGAATTTCACTCTCTTCTTTCCTTTGGCCTCTGTGTCTTTGCCTCCTCATGTGTCTGCCTTCCTGTGTTTGCTTCTATATATTAGGTGGAACTGCCCCATATCCCAGTCTTTGTGGGGTGGCCTTGTGTAGCAGGTGTCCTGTGGGGGCCGATGGCACAGTCTCCTTGGTCACCTGAGCCGGGTGCTCTGAATGCTCCTTGTGTGGGTTGTGTGCCCCCTGCTGTAGTTAAGCCTTGACTGCTGCTGGCAGGCATGTCAGGGGCTGCGTGGGACCGACCCTGAGTGACTGCAGTGGACAAGCTCTTTGGGGGCCCGCCCCATGGAGTGGGATTTGCTACAGCAGGGCTCCGGGGCCTGCTGAGTCTACCCTTTGGGTGTGTCATTTGTGGAGCTAACCAGGTGGGGCCCTGGCGTGGTCTGAAGCCGGCCACCAGCTGCGTTGGTCTGGGGCTCTGGTGCGGGCCCAGGCCCGCTGCTACCTGTGCCCAGCCCCACTGCTACCTGTGCCCAGCCCCGAGGCCAGTGGGTAGGACCTGCAAAGTGCGTGTTTGGCAGCTGCCTGTGTTGGGCTTGGAGGCACCTGGGAGGGGCTGTGCTGTGCACCGAGGCCAGAGGCCAGCTGCCGCCGGTGCTGGGCTGGGGCTCGCTCCGCCAGGGGTACAGGGTACGTTGAGGCTGGCTGCTGCTAGTTGGGGGCCTTTCAGAGACTTTAGGGAAGCCCACACTGAGGGCTGAGGCCAGCTGCTTGTGAGTAACAGGCACTGACAGGTTCTACCCCATGTGCAAGTTGTGTGGGGTGGGTTCTCAGGGACCAGCCCAGGAGAGTGAATTTGATGGAGATTCAGGTATGGCACCAGCCTACACACGCGGGCCGGGCTGGGGGCGGGCTCAGCAAAGGGGCAGTGGCCCCCGTAGGCACGTTTAGTGTTGGAGTGAACTGCCCCTCCAGCGGACATCCTTAAGCCAGCAGTTCAGTTCTTCCCTCTTTGTCCCCAGTGCTTTGAGTTGCTGCCCCAACGCTGGAGCTCAAAGCCGGTGAGCCCCCCCGTGAGTGACTCTGGGCCCTGGCTGGTGTGGCTCAGCGGGCTGAGCGCCGGCCTGCGAACCAAAGGGTCTCTGGTTTGGTTCCCAGTCAGGGCACGTGCCTGGGTGGCGGGCATGTCTGGGACTCCAGAAGCCCTCCTCTCACCTGGACAGGCTCCCGGTGATTTCTTCAGCCCGATGCTGTGGGGACTCCTCCTCCTGGCACTGGTGGTCCGGGCCAGGGCCCTTCGCCCCGCACCCCTCTGCATCGGGGTGTTCCTCCTGATGCGTGACCGACGCGCACTGGATGTGGGGCCGGTTGTTTCACGTCTCCGCCCCTCCTCCCAGTGTCTCTGAGGCTGCTTCTTTACTTCGTTGGTTATAGGAGTCTCTTTTCTTAGTCTTCAGGCGGCTCAGAGGTGGCGGCTCTTGTACTGTGGCTGTAACTTTGATGAGGTCTCTGGGGGCAGCAAGCACAGCGTTTACCTACTTTGTCATCTTGACTGAAAGTCCTGGATTCATTCCTAGTAACGTCTAATGTAGCATATTTTGATAGCGTCCTACAACATTGAGTTTTCTTCCTTTTTTTAAAAAAAGATTTTACATATTTACTTTCAGAGAGAGGGGAAGGGAGGGAGAAAGAGAGGCAGAGAAACATCCATGTACGAGAGAAACCTGGGTTGCCTCTCTCTCGGTTGCCTCTCGCACACCCCCAGCTGAGGACCCAGCCTGCAGCCCAGGCATGTGCGCTGGGAATTGAACCAGCGACCCTTTGGTTCACAGGCCGGCGCGCAGTCCACTGAGCCACACCAGCCAGGGCAACATTGACTTTTCTAAAGCATTAATATAAGATGGAGCAAATAACAATTACGGCAAATTAGGCTAATCTTTTCAGTTAGGTATTTTGGAAATGAGACCGCTTTAACTGCTTTGTTGACTTATGCTGTAAAAATTTAAGTGCATTTGTTTCTGTTTTTAATTATCAGTCCTAAAGATGTGGCAGTTTAGTTAAAATGTCTGGTGTCAGAGGAATTATTTTTAATACCTACATTTGTATACTGTATATAAAATTTTCCTCTCAAACAACTTTTATTGACAGTGAATAGAAGTAGTCATTAAATGAATTATTTTTTTTCTTTTTTGGTTTTAGGAGAAATATATTCAAGGGGAAGAGACTTAATATTTTCGATCTTACGGAGGCTACTCAAGAGGTACCTGAAACAGGTTCGTTAATAAAAAAACAATACCATGTAGAAAAATTCCATCTTTCAAAAACATCCTGATTATTTGATTGCATAATAATCAGGGATTTCAGTATTCCTGTCGTTGGCTGGCATCCTGCTTAGGGATGGACGCGTGGCCATTGTCAGTCTTGGCCAGGTTCTGCTCCTGCGATGCTGCAGACCTCGAGATGGGCGGTCAGGGCCGGCCGCCAGCTGCGTGGATCCCAGCAGCAGGCTGGCTGCTGCCTTGGGGGCGAACGTCAGTGACCGCCTGCTCTGGGCAGCGCACCTGGGCGCTGGCTCGGACCGGGGCCGCGGCTCCCGCCCGCTGTGGCTCCGGCCCTCAGCGGCTCGCTCTCTGGAAGAACAGGCAGCGGTTACAGAAGTCACGTGCTGACTCAGTGGCTGCTCAGGCGAGGGGGAGAAGAGCATTCTGGAGATGTGGTCAGTGGGCTTGCAGTGTTTTCTTTCTTAACACACAGTCTCTTCTCCATTCTGTCTCCTTTCTTCTTTGGGCAAGAAGTCAAGTCCTTCAGATTTTCCATTTTAAGTCTAATTAAATGAGAAATAAGAGTATCCTCTTACTTGGCATTAAATTTGATTTAGTGATAAATTAATACAAATGGTCTCCAGCTTACAAGTGACTTCCATTTCTAAAGATTGTAAGTTAGCTTTTTGGTCCTTGGTAGAAATAATTTTATATTTGATGTTTAAGCTCGTAGGCCAGCCTCCAGTGACTCATTTTAACTATCATTTTATTAAAAAAACTCATGATATTAGCAGCCAGGTCTCACTGATCTTTGTATACCCACCAGCACCCAGCCAAGTGGCTTACAGATAATAAGAATTAGTTATGTTAAATCTTAAGTCCTTTTTTGAACAAATTGAACTAAAAACATATATCCGTAGAGGAAAGGCGTTGATTCAGTCAGTGTTTGTTCATTTAAATGAAGGTGATGCCAAGAGAACGAACAATGGGCCCTGTGTCGTGCAGGCTGCATTCTGTCCTGTGTGACCAACAGGACAGGCACAGGCATGGGGACAGGTCCCTGTCCCCTGTGGCGACTATTCAGTTTGCCTCAAAAAGAGAATTTGCTATCAGGGCAACTGCTGTTGTCTCTCTAATGAGCAGCCGGAGAAGCACTTGGGTTTTTGCAAAAGCCAGCTTGCTTTTTTCAAAATCAGAAATCTTATTTCTAGAACGGAAATTAGCTAGCAAGGCAGTAATGAAGTTGTATGTGTCTTATAAAACAGTATAAAATAATTATACTCTAATAAGGAAAGTAATGTACAAATTTATGTCAATTTACTTGAAGAAAGGTACTCTTTTAATAAAGCTATACTTGCATGAGTCTAAAGAATGTTTTTTTCCCAGTTAAATGCTTTCAATAATTACTTATTAACCAAATAAATGAGTTCTTCTGTCCCCTGATTTCCACGTGGTGCTCCTCCCTGAGTTCTTACCAGTACTGCAAAGGCTATAGTCATAGACCCTGTTGCTTACTCTGGAGTGATGCGGGGCTGAGAGGCCAGGTAGCTGAATGGAAAGAGGTTTGGTGTTGGACATCTGAGTTCCTCAACTTCGGATTCTGCCGCCCCGAGCTCCTCGAGTCTCCCTTTCCCCACCTACAAAGCGGGCGAATACCCACGTCTCCAGGGTTAAATGAGGTGGTGTAATTAAAGTGTCAGCCACGGTGCCTGGATCCCGGTGAACCTTCAGTCACTAATTATTAACACTAAGAATAATAATGCTGGTGGCGATCATCGTGGGAAAGACGCAGGTTGATCGCTGTCCACTGAATGAATTTAAAAGATGTGGCCATGGTAATGAAGTCATCGCGCTGCCATGATTCCTCTGTAAATGTGGCTGATAAGCCTGCTGTGACCTTTTCTCTGTGTCACATGTTCGAGGCCAGCATACTTAATATCCAGCAGTCAGTGTGTGGTTCATACGTGAACTGTCATATACCTGTCTCTTCCTTTTTTTTAAAGATTTTTATTTACTTATTTTTAGAGAGAGGGAGAGAGAGGGAGAAAGAGAGGGAGAGAAACAGCGGTGTGCAGTTGCTTCTTGTGCACCCCCTATAGGGGGCCTGACCTGTAACCCAGACATGTGCCCCGATCAGGAATAGGACTGGGGTCCCTTCGGTTCTCAGGCCGGCGCTTAAGCCACAGAGCACACCCGCAGGGCATATATCTGTCTTTGTATGGACATATGTTTTCTTTTAGGAGTAAAATGGTTGCATGATAAATGTATTTCTTCGCTTTTTAAGAAACTTCCAAACTAGTTTCCAAAGTGGTCGTACCATTTCACATTCCTACCAGTGGTGACTGGTGCAAGTATGACTCATTCTTGAAAAATGTCTTAAATTTCCAAAACAAGTGATTGAAACATGATATGATGGTGCTTATAAGCTACTATTAATACTACCTTACTCGGTAAGAGTTGGTTGTGAGGATGCATGAACTAGTGCACCAAAGGCATTTAGCACGGAGTAAGTACTCAGTATCCATTAGTAGTATTATCACTATTATCATAATCACGTTACTTTTTCTTTGGTCTTTATTAGTAGTACGTTAGTGACTTAACAGACTAAAAATAAAGGTAAACAGATTGGATCTTAAAGATCAAAGTCATGTTGTATAAAATAGATTTATTTTCATAAAAATATCTTTAAACAAAATACATGTTTCTTTTTGCCTTTCCAGTGGAGGAGGCAGTGAGACTTCAGGGGTTGGTTTCCTAGCGTTGTAGTAGGAGTCGAGGCCTGCAATGGTTGTAATCGCAGTCTTTGTATGCCACACATACACACACACACACACACACACCTACATGCATGTTTCAGCTTTAGCTCTCAGAGAGTGACCTTTCATTGTATAGTACTAAATTAGGAGCTTCAGGGTCTGAGAATGTATTACCAACTCAGAGCTGATTATAACATTTTTAAAAAGAAGGATATCGACATTGACCTGTGCTTTTTTTGAAATGCTTTCCTGTACAGAAGCAGCACCCTCACTCTGGGATGTGGAATTTGCTAAGCAGTTGGCGGCAGTCAATGAACAGCCCTTTCGGAATGGCTTTGAGGAGATGATCCAGTGGACGAAAGAGGGGAAACTGTGGGCGTTCCCCATTGACAACGAAGCGGGTGAGCCGCGCCTGCAGGGGTTTGCGGAATTCCCTGAGTGAGACTGGATCTGGCAGATGTTCAGACATTTGGTTACGGAGCCTAGATATTTACATGAATGTCAGACGTTCTGGAACTATCTTTGTGACGTCCTAAAAGAAATTTGACAGTATTTCTGAAAAGAATGTAAGAATTTCACTTAATTCTAGGCGTTTGGTAAGGAAAATGAGGACGTAAAATTACGCGGCCGAAATGCACCATGGGTTTCTGTGCCTTGAGTGCTGGGGGACCGTCTTCTGGCTGTGGCAGGGGGCTGCCTGGTAGCTCTGACACACCCTGCTGGTATGAGATTACACTTTAATTTTGGAGACCATTACAGCTCTCAGTCTTATGCTGCTATCTTTTATTTATAAAACCACCGTATCGGTGAGGTGCAAGTTTCTTGTATTCAAAGTCACTCAAAGTAAAAATGTTAGGAGGCTTTGAAATTCTTTGGAAGTCTTTGGCTGTACATAGATGCTTTGAACTGGTAATAAAATATTATCTACTTCCCTGGAGATTTTTCTGGAGATGATATCTCCTCCTCAATCAAGAGGAAAGCACTATTACTGTGCTCTTTATTTCTTATTGCGCCCACGTCGTCATCAGGTAAACGCTTTCATTGAATTTTATAGGTGTATTTTCAATTAAAAGGGATTGATTTTCTTTTATGTTAAGATTAGCTAGAAGTTGCAAACACCTCATTAATTCTTGGGAAAATGTAGTCCATACTTTAATCTTTGTAGTTTTATGCTTTCACTGTAATATTTTAATTTTTTATGATCTTTCATTTCTTTTGAATTAACAAGTAGAATGGAAGCTTAACTATGAGAAATATTTAGTTTTATATTTTCATAAAGTATTACGTTGTGTAAAACTTTAGAGACTTACAGATCCTTTAGCAAAATCTTATGTTTTGTATGTTTTATGGTATACGCAGTAATACAGCATACTGTGTTTAAGCTGTTACACAACATGTATATTTCTTAAAGCGTTATGGTTTCTGCACCCTGTGAAGTATCAGGGTGAAGTAAAACAAAAAGAAAAGGAAAAAGCAGACTCGTAGTTGTGCAAACCTGAGTACAGACCCCAGTTCTGTCGCTTGTTAGCCAGTTGCCTTTGAGGAAGTTATTTAACCTTTTGAACCTTGGTTTCTTCATCTGTAAAATTAAAGGTACCTCATTGGAAGAATAGAAGAATTAAGTAAGATAAAGTCATTGAGTTGCTGAGCACAGTTCTTGGATGTAATACTTACGTATGAATAAATGTTAGTTCTTTCCCCTCCTCTATGAACATAGAATTGTGAATGTAGCGAAAAACTATCACAACGTGTGATAGAAGGGAACATGTCATGATTTACTGGATCCTGGGTGTTCTGCGTCTTCATGGTTAAACACAGGTGTTAGGCCCCAGCGCCGAGGCGGACTAGCGTGTGGCTTGGCTAAGGAGAGGCAGGGAGGTGGTGGTTAGCAGTTCGGGTTCCCAGGCGATTTGCACCTTAACCTCTCAAGCCACGCCGCTCTCATCTGCGCAACGCGGGGAGTAACGATAGGGCTGATTTGGGGGGGTCCTTCGAAACACGTGAGATCATGCAAGGAAAGTGTCATCACTGCCATCACCTCGGTTCGCAGGGCGGTGTTGGGAGGGGACCGGCCGCGCAGCGGTGCCCTGTTGGTGCGGTCGCACCCCCGCATCTCCCGACATTAGCAAGCAGAGCGTGTACTTTCTAGGACCAGCAGCTGCTGTCACAGGAAAGTGGAGCTTGGCAGTACAGTGCCATCAACAGGAAAATGCTGAGTTCATTAAAATTTTGAGTTCCCAAACTCCAAAGGACTTTATCTTAAATGTGACCTGGTGTTGATAATGTTTAATTTCTAAAAAAGGGAAAAAACCGTGTTTTTTGGTCAGGTTGTGAAGATAGCTGCAACAAGTGTCCATATAACTGTTCGTGTAATTGATGCTCCAGGGTGGGAAAGGGAGGCGTCTCGCTTCCAGCTCCCGAGGGAGCTGTCCCCTGAAGGAGAAGCCGGCGCGGGCTGGAGGCCGCGCACTCTGCTCCCCTCCCCGAGCGCCCGGCACAGCGGGGCTGGAGCCTGCGCCGCGCCTGAGCGCCCGCAGCCCACGGGGCAGCAGTGTCCTTCCTGTTTCCTGCTCTCGTTTTGAGATTAACAAAATGTCATGTTCTCTTTACCACAAATCAGCTTCATGGGATTTACTTTGGTGCTTTTGGGGAAAGATGTTTTATTTTTAGGGGCTAGCCATGTCCGTCTTGGAACACAACACTGAAAATGACAAATGACATGTCCTGTTTTATAATTTACTTCCCAGTGTTGTGTTTTCTCATGTAAAAATATAATTTGTTGTTTTGCCACTTAAAATGTGTAAGTTATTTTTCTAATCCAAAGTAGGTTTTTGTTTTGTTTAAGTTTTGGTTTTAAGAAATGGTTTGTCCCTTGTAGGGTGCTTTGCCAGCATGGAGATGTACAAAAGCTGTTGGGTGGAATTGTTCCCCATTAGATATTATAGTGTTGTATGTTGCATTGATAAGAAAACCATTTTTATTTTAGCTTTGACTTTGACTTTAATTAAATGTAATCATGTTTTTGCTATTACCTAGTTCACTGAATTGCTCTTAAATATCTGTTAGCCATACATAGATACAGTCTACCAAATTCATACATAGATACAGTCTACCAAATTAAGGGTGTTTGGCGATCCTCCCTGAGAGTAAGTCAGTTAGAGGCGTCAGTGGACAAGAAAATTCACTCACGTATGTTAACCACACTTCCACCAAGATGTTTGTCACTTCCATCAGGGGCTTTCCTACAATGTCTGCTGTTCCTTGGATTTTTGCCCCACTTTAGAGGAAGGCATAGAAAGCCTCTTACCGGGTGTGTGCGCCTGGGTGGGGCTTGTCAGCTGGCAGCTTCCCTTTCCGGGGGGCTGGGAAGGAGCCAGCGTGGAGAGCCTCAGGGCTCCCTGTCTGTGGGTTCTCCTTGAGCCTCTCTGGTTCTCAGTGCCGTGCAGGGGCACCCCCTGCCCCCCTCCCCCCCACCGCCCTGCCTGCAGCGGCCTGGGAGGAGGGGCTTCTCACCATCAGGATACAGACTGCTACATAGTTGCTCTCTGATCAACTCAGTGACTTAGCTCTTTTTCCACTTTAATTTCTCCAGAAAGTACAGTGCCCATCTTCTTTGGGAATCATGGCAGCGTCATCCTGCGGTGCGGGTGGGCATGGGACGTGGGAGAGTGAACTATTCCCTAAACCAGTTTTAATTAATCTTCCCTTTTTTGTCCCTCCTCCCTGCTCCTAATTTCAATGGTACAATAGTCCCCACTTCTCTGTGGGGGGTATATTCCAAGACCCCCCCCAGTTGATGCCAGAAACCGCAGATAGTACTGAACCCGTATATACTATATTTTTACCCACACATGCATATCTGTGATAAAGTTTAACTTATAAATGAGGCATAATAAGAGATTAACAGCAATAACTAATAATAAAATAGAACAGTGGTAACAGTATACTGTAATGAAAGTTGTGCCAATGTGGTCTGTCTGTCTCTACCATCTTCTGGTACGGTCCTCACCCTTCTGGTGACGCGAGATGACCCAGCGCCCACGTGGCGAGGGAAGTGAGGGGAGGGTTCTTATCAAAGTGACTATTGGGTCATGTGAGTTTTCTTTAACCTGTTTATGTGGTAGACTACATGGATTTTCAAATATCCAGCCACAATTACACATGTGAAATAAATCCCACTTGATCTTGGCGTATGTCTTTTTATATGGTGTTGGGTTTGTTTGCTAATTTAAAAAAAAAAGTTTTTGCCTCTAAATTAATGAGAGATATTGGTTTAAATTGTTTTCTCTCCTTTCCTCTCTTCTTTCTTTCTTTCTTTTTTTTGTCATGTCTTTGTTTTTGATAACAAGGTAATACTGGCTTAACAGAGTGACTTAGGAAGTGTCCCTTTTAGTTTGCGGAAGAGATTATGTAAAATTGGTGTCAATTTTTCTTTACATGTTTGATAAAATTCTCAAGTGAAGTTATCTGGACTTATGGAGTCCTTTTGTGAGAGCTTTTAAATTACACATTCCTTTTCTTTAGTAATTATAAAACTGTATTATCTATTTTTTTTGGAGGGTGGTTTTGTTTAATGGATTTTATTTTCAGTTGTTCTTTATTTCTCAGATTGTTGAATTTGTGAGTGTAAAGTTGTTTATGGTGTTCCTTTACTATTCCTCTAATGATATCAGAATTTATAATAATAACCCTTTTTCATTCCTAATATTGGTGGTTGGTGCTTTCTCTGCTTTCTTCTTTATAGGACTTGATAGAGATTTATCAATGTTACTGATTTTTAAAAGAAGCAGGTATTGATTTCATTGATTTCTCTATTTTCCTGTTTTCAATTTTGTTGATTCCTGATATCATTTATTTGTTATTTCCTTCCTTTTGCTTGCTTTGGGATTGTCTTGCCCTTTTTGTAGGTTCTTGAGGTGGGAGCTCAGATTCTTTGTTTGAGATGTTCCCTCCTCTTCTGTGTGTGCGTAGTACCATGTGTGTGCGCTCAGCCCTGTCTTTGCTACGTCCCACGCAGTTTGATGAGTTGTGTTTCCATTTTCATTCAGTTGTATATTTTTTAAAATTTCCTTTGAGACTTCCTCTATGATCCATGAATTGTTTAAAAGTATATTAATTTCCAACTGTTTGAAGATTTTCCTGTTGTCTTTCTGTTACTTTTAGTTTGATTCCATTATGATCAGAGTACATACTATATATTCCATTATGTTAGATGTGTTGAAGTTGTTTAGTGATCCTGGATATGGTTTACTAGGTGAATGTTTCATAGCTACTTGAAAAGAATCTCTGTTCTGCATCGTTTGGTAGAGTGTTCTGTAGACAGCAGTGTCGTCCTGGTGGTTCTTCAGTTCTTCTATATCTTTGCAAATTTTCTACTGGTTGGTTTTCTCAATTGCTAACAGGAGGATATTGAAATACCCAGCTATAAATTGTAGATTTTTTAATTTCTTCATTTCCATGATTTTTTCTTTCACATATCTGGAAGCCTTATTGTTTGGTATGTGCATAATTCAGGTGTTATCTCTTCTTGGTGGATTTATCCTTTTAATATGTAATGTTCCTCTTTCGCCAAAATAATTTTTTTGCTCTAAAGTCTACTTTATCTGATATTAATATAGCTACTTGCACTTTCTTTTTTTAAAAATTAATGTTAGCAAGAGACATCCTTCTCCATCCTTTTACTTTCAACTTACCTGTTGAAGTGAGTTTCTTGTAGATAGCAGATATCTACTTTGCCAACCTCTGTCTTTTGATTGGTGTATTTTAAAGTAACTATCGATTTGTTAGGACTTAAGTCTCCAATTTCATTATTCATTTTCTGTTCATTTTTTCTATTTCTCATTCCTCTTTTTCTTGGCTTCCTGTGGGCTGCTAGAACATATTTTAGGACTCCATTCTGTTTCATTTATGTATTTTTAAGTATAGTTTGCATAGTTTCCTTAGTGGTTGTTTTAGACATTAAAATATTTATTAGCAGTAATTGCTGCTACACTTTGAACATTTGTACTATGCTGAGCACTGTAAAGGAACTTTTTTAGCTTTGTGTCTATTTAATCTTTACAAAAAACCCATGAAAAAGATGCTGTTTTAACCTTGATTTTATGCCTGAGGAAGCTGATGTTCAAAGAAGTTAATTAAATTGCCCAGTCATGCAGTTATTAAATTGGTGGGCGAACGTAGGGTCCAACTTCAAAATTCATGCCTTTAACTATAATACTATATTATATTAATGTTAATTTTATATGATGTAGGTTTTACATTCAAAATTATAACTTATTTTGTCTCACATTTTTTAGGTTTTGATGATGATGGTTCAGAATTTCATGAACATATATTTCTAGATAAATACCTGGAAGATTTTCCAAAACAAGGACCAATTCGCCACTTCATGGAGCTGGTGACCTGTGGGCTTTCCAAAAACCCACATCTGAGTGTTAAACAGAAAGTGGAACATATTGAGTGGTTTAAAAATTATTTTAATGAAAAAAAGGATATTCTAAAAGAAAGTGACATACAGTTCAATTGAAGACCATGGAAATTTTTATTTCAAGCTGTTGGAGATGTTAACTAAATAAAATACTTTTACTAGAAGTTTACCTATATGGTATTAATTATTGCATCTGATTTGAATAGTATAAATGTCATATTACTTAGAAATAAATCATGTGGGTGACCTGATGTTTCACCAAATAACTGCACGAGATGTGATATGTGAGTGGGCATGTTGTTGTGATGAAGCTGCCAGTCACCAGTTGCCCACAGCTGCAGCCTCCTGAATCATCCGAATGGTTTCCGCAGAGAAATGTTCAAGCTTAACACAAAATCTGATGCAGATTCGTTGCTTTACTCGCTCGGCCATTTTGAATGGGATGGCCACGCAGTGCACGTGCTCACTCAACGGCGTCCACCGCTCCCACGGACTAGGACAGTGACGTCGTTCGTCATTGTTTATGCATGTGCATTCCAGTCCGCTCTCCTTGGCCGCCAGGTTACATCCCTGTCATGCAAACTGTTCTCATTAAAGTAACAATGGCTGGACTTTTTCCGGACAGATACCTATATAAGACACACAGACACAGGCAACAGCATGGTGTTAGGCTGAGGTAAGGGAGGAAAGGGCGTGGGGGGGAGGTGGAGGCGGGCGAATGGGGGAAGCGGGGACAGGAAGAGGCTGTGCTTGGGACAGCGGGTGCACAGCGCCGTGCGCAGTGGCGCTTTATTGAGTTGTACACTTGAAACCCGTATGGATTTGTGGGCCATGTCACCCCAATAAATTCAGTGTTAAAAAATGTTCAAAAAGAACATACTGAAGTAACATTTGTATACCCTTTAAATGGAAGAAAAATTAAAAGTTAAGCAATAGCACGTATATTAGTGGGAGTGTAAAATGGCAACCACTTTTGTATTTAAATCATTATAGATTTATAATATACAGATAAAAATACAGGGTCTAGCACCAGTAATGCCCCTTTTTTATTACAAAATCTTTTATTACAAAATCATAAGCATGTAATTCTGTCAATGGTATCACACTCAAGCACACCATAGGACATTTTAGGTGAAATGATCAAATTAAAACTATAAATTATTACACCCATGTTATTACCCTACCAACCACACTCAAGCAGGCCTTACTTCTGCCAGACCCTGTGTATAAACGTAACAATTATATATGAAGCATTTAATTATATATTTTAATATTATATGTAAAAATATAAACAAATATGTAACCTATCACATAAGCACATATATGTGTATATATATGTGTGTATATATTTATAAAACCTTATGAACAATCAGTTCTGTTCCTGGAACATATACCCCAAAAAACCCTTGCAGATATGTTCTGGAAGGCATGTACAAAAATGTTCAAAGTGGCAAAAATTGGGAAAATTCTCATCACCTGGAAAGCTAATACATAAATTCTCGCTTATTCATGCATTGGGACACCATACAGAAGTGAAAATGATTAAAATAGCACTACAGTTATTCACATAAATTTCAGAAACAATGTCAAGTGAAAAATAAGTGGCAAAAGAATGCATGCAGTATTACGCCATTTAGATGTAAAGGTCAAACACCAGATTTTGAACATAGCCCTCAGAGCAATAAAGCTGATTCTAAAGAGCGCGGGCGCTGTATTGCGGGGCGGTGGGGAGACACGTCGCGGGCCGAGGAGGCGCACGCCGGGCGCCTCGGCGGTGCTGGCGTTCTCCGTATTTTGCCGTGTAGAATGCACACCCCTGTTTCTGGCCCAAGCTTTCAGGGAAAAAATTTTTTTGTTTTAATTTTTTAATTCAATTTGTTATTTTTTTTTAGATACTTGCGTTTTGTGAAGGAATTTTAGTACTTGTGAACATACTATGGTACAAGAAATTTTATGTAACAAATAATGACTAAACACAAGAACATAGAAGGTATTTCAGGTACTATCCATGTATAACGCGCATCCTTATTTTTCCCTCAAAAATTTGGGTGAAAGAGTGTGCATTATACACAGCATAATATGGTACTTCTCGCGTTGCATGGTAGGTTCACACATGGTCATTTTATTATTGTGCTTTAGCAATTACAGGCATTCATTTGGATGTCACATTTCATACTATTATAAAAATGAATGGAAACAGGTATGTAACTGGATGATATATATGCAGAGTTTAGCCATAATTTGAAAAGATGATACCTCCACAGCTGAGAGCATGATGTGAAGAACATCTTTGATTTGGCCATTTACACACTTGATTCTAAAAACTCTGTTTTTCTTAGATTCTTGCCTTTTTTTTTCTTTAAATTGCTCTAAAACTTGAGTAATCAGTTTTAAATAATGCAAATAAAGACAACAAAAACCCTAAATCCTAAAGGATTAAATCCTAAATCTAATCCTAAAGTTGCTTTGAAATCCTATGCATTTAGACATAGGATTGCAAATTGACTATTAGGAACATTTTATTTTTTTAGAAGTTTTATTTACTTATTTTTAGAGAGAGGAACAGCGGTGTGCGAGAGAAACATCAATTGGTTGCCTCTCATGCAGTGACCCAGGCAGGTGCCCTGGCTGGGAACTGAACCAGCGACCCTTTGGTTCGCAGTTGGCGCTCAATCCACTGAGCCACACCAGCCGGGGCTTATTCTGAATAACCAAGTATTACAGGGCTGAAGATAGCCTGTTTTCTAAAATAGATTAATTCAAGGATTAAGAAATCTCTGAAAACAGGATAGTGCATTGTGTCCCAACTTCTTGTTGAACTAGGATATTAGTGACGGCAGCAGGGGTGTGGGTGGGGGAGGTACTAGGACAGCAAACAGCTGCTGGAATATGCTTGTGACTTAGCGTCTTTTAGAAAATCCTGTTACCGGTAAAGGAAAGGAAGGACTGATGTTTCCCAAGATCTCAGTAGCACCTTCACAGAGTGGGAAGGAACATGGATGCTCCTTTTGAACGTAATACAGGACATGAGAAAATAGACTCAGTGCCCCGGAGAGCGTTTTGTGCGTCTGATAGTGGTTTACCTTTATCAGCCTTAACTCTGGCAAACCTAATGTTTCTGCTTTGCTTTTAAGATGGAATGCCCTGGGGAGGGGTTGCGGGGGTTAGGGGTTGGAGGGATTGAGCCGAAAGGAAGAAAGACTCGTGGACGTGGACAGCTGTGTGGTCATTCCCGGGGGGATGGGGAGGGCGCGGGGTGGGGGTGGAAGAGGGTGCAAGGGCGCTGAATGGAGATGGAAAAAACACCATAAAAAGTTTTTAAAAAATTAAATGGAGTGCAACAGCCTGTCTGAAATAGATTGTTGCTTTTGCATGCTCTACTATTTTTTTTAAACAGCTCAGAGGGTAAGGAAGCAAAGGGAAACGCTTCGATTTTTTTTTAATTTTTATTTATTTATTTTTTTGCGCTTGCCCCCTGCCAAACTACTGATACTCCTACAGCGCTCTTCCTGTATTTCCGTCTCCTGTCCTCTGCCTGCGTCTCTGCTTCGGAGTCGGCAACTTCTTTTCAAATCTCCAGGTCGCTATGAACTGTGATTGTGAGAACACGAGCTAATCTCCCGGCCTGTTTCCTCCCTTGTGAACGATCTCGGGGCTCCCATCCCCGAGATTCATCGGCAGGTGTCGACCTTGGGTGCGGCGGTGTGTTACACAGTGGCTGGCATGTGCTCTCTGCTGCAAAAATCACGGCAGTTTTCTTCCTCCGTACTCCTGCCAGGCCTCCATGTCGGGATCTTTCCATGACTCCACCTTTATCTGGGAATGGCAGCTTCTCCTTTCTCAGCTTCAGATCCAGTTATCCTTGCCTTGAAACAGAACAAGTAACGACTCTACGGCCATACCACCCTGGACGCGCCCGATCCCGGCAGAATATTTCATGTTTATGATGCACTGTTCTCACCCTCCAAAATCCGTAGTCATTTCGTCACTGTTTTTGTCACTGATGCAGTGGACTCTTGCTTTCACAGGTGGAAATGAGGACAGGGAGGTCTGGGGACAGCAGGATTTGCCCTCAGATGGCTCTGGGCTCCATCCTGTCCCTGACAGCTTAAGGTCATGCCTCCTGAGAAGGAGCCCCGCTGTCCAAATGGACAGATGCCCTTGACGAAGGCTTCACTCTGCGGTCTGCCTTGCTCTCTCTTCAGGTGTCCCCAGGAAACAGAATAAAAGCAGATATTCCCATAGCAGCAACCTGATAAGGACTGATACTAGGGCACTACTTTCACAGCATGTCTTCACGTCTGTCGCTCATCCATTCCTGTGTTAAGCGTTCCCTGCGCTCTGCCATGTGCCAGGCCTCTACTAGACACCAGAGTATAAATGCACCGGTCCTGCGCCCGCTGGTCTTGAGATGTCATCTTAAAGGCCACTTCTCCAGAAAAGCCTCCCCTCCCTGCTTTGTTCAGTAGGTCCTCCCTTCTTCCTAACACCCCTCTGTTTCCTTCCCAGTGTTTTCCTAGCCTGGTCTCCTTAAGGGGAGGGCCTGTGTCAGCTTCTGTCACCTCTGCAAAGCCAAATGTTCAAGACCTAGCACATTGCCGGGTCCCAAATAGGCGCTCGATAAAACTGTCAGCGTGAGGAGAAGGCAGAGGGAATAAAGCATGCTCATGGGAAAGAGAAAAGTAAAGACTCCGTTGCCCTACGCTGCGGCGAGTGCCAACGGAGAAAAACAGGCTGAGGGTGTAAGGGAATCGCATCCCATCAGGACATCCGCCGCCGGTGAGCGTCCTGCAGGAGAGCGGTGTCAGGCCAGGTCAGCGCCGTCTGGGGAGAGCTGGGGCGAGCTGCCTGCTTCTGGACTGCAGAGTAGGGGGGCCCTCTGCCCGCGCACACAGATAAGCTGCATTCCCCCAAATTGGCGTTGTTCATAATAAAAATGATATTCTGGTCTCCATGTGCCACGCGCTTCATTGTCTGTCTCGTAAATGGTTCAGAACTCAGAAAGAGGAACGTTATTTATCACCCTTTCTTATACTTTTTAAGCTGATAATCTAATTCTTATGCAATCTTTTTATCTGTTCTCCTTATCATTTATAAAAATAGATTAAACTGATGGGATCATATTTTAGGGAAATACTACATTTCTTTTTAGGAAAAGTATATTTAGGA